AATTAAACTGGAGGGTGCAGACGTGTGTGACACATTGGAACCGTTACACTACCCAATCTGAATGTTTGTTTAAAGGTTACTTTTGGATGAAAGCTGGTTAGAGAATAAATAACAGATGCTGGAGGCATCCATTATGTATTTTTGCAATTAGCAGAAAATCCTGGTACTTTTCTTAAAGAACATACATAATTTTGTGGGATGTTTATTGCTGGAAGCAATCTGCTCTCGCTGGCAGGAACAGCATCCATGAGCCCAGGGAAGCTCCACAAGAAGTCACACATGGTAATCCAAATGCAATGCTTGCTTCAGGAACAGCACTTAAAATCCTGAGCTCTCTGTCGCAAGGAAGTGGTCAAATGCACTTTCTTTCCGCAGAAAATTTTAAATTAGAAAGAACATGGTAAAATTATCCCTGTTCCTATTTTCCACAGACATTTTGATTATCCAACAAAAATGTGGCTCCAGATTATACTTTCATTTAGAAAATGCATCCAGGATGCTTCATGCCATTGTTGCCTTCTGTGCCCAAGGGCTTCTCCCATGATCCAGCTACCATCTCCCTTCTTGGGATAGGGAGATGTTACGATACCTTGGGAAATCTTGCCCATGCAAGAGGCATGGCCTGGAAAGGAAAATTGAAGTAAGGAAGCCGATACAGCTCCCAGAGAGCATCTCCCTCACAGAAGTTCATGCATGTGGAATATGAGGTGGGGCAGCAGCTTGAGACTGTGCCAGTCCTCCCCCTGAAACAAAGGCGCTAATCATTTCCATCATAGCCAAAAGAAACTGGAGGAGGTATTCAGACAAGGACAGAGGTATGTGGGTTAGAACATAACATGGACCTCAAGGTACTTTTTGACCACATCTGTGGAGTCCAGAGGGTTCTGGTTTAAGGAGAAAACAGTAGTAACATCCCAAACAGCAATCCAAAGAGATAGCTCCATGCTCAGGTTGGAAAGAGGACCAGCCCATGTTACATCATCCAAATACCTTCCTGTACAGATCCTGACAGTCCTTGAAGACCTCCATGACAGATTAAGCTTCACTCCTAAGACTTGATCCAATTGCGAATCTATCCTAAAATCTCTTTCCACACCTTATGGCACTAAAATTCATGCCAAGTACAAAAGTTGTGCAAGATACTATCCCCACGTCCCATCCACGCACCATTACACGTATCGTGTGTGGTATCGCACAGCAATCTTTGCCATTTCTTACACAAAGAAACTGCATTGTGCTAAAAAGCCCTCCAGAATAAAGCAGATAATATCTTTTGGGATGGCGCCTTGTATTTTCCTTGTCTCACTGCAGCAGCTATTACAAGAAACTAACCCAAACCCTCCTATTTCTAAATTTGACAGAAAAAGCACAACTCAAACTGGTATTTGGTTTAGGACTGAATGGTTTGCAGTGCTTAAGACGCATTTTAGACAAAAGCAAGCTTTCTGCCAAGCACTTGAGGGAAAAGAGAAGATTTCTGCTTCGCTGTTTGAATGTAGTTATAAACCAGGGTGACAAAATAGCCTGGCATTGCTGCCTGCAGAGAAATACACTGTGCATCTTGTCCTTTGCAAGCACAGCCCTATTTGTCTTCATCCCACCCTGTTTACCTTCTTACCGCTTTATCCTAAAGACAAGTTCCTGTCTACACATTCCCTGGAATTCAAGGTGGCAGAGTCAGTGCGGGGAGACAGGCAACTTCCAGGCAAGGGAATGCTTTCGCATGAATTTCTATACAGCATAATCATGAAACAGCAAGACTAAATGCAAGCATTGCTGCTGTGAGGAACAGATACGTATCTAAAGCTGAAGCTTGACTAGTGAAGCAGAATTGACTGAGCTTCTTTAAGCATCTTTCCTCCCGTCCTCAATCATCTCACTTGCATCCATTGAAGCATAACAGGTCAGTGGTAGTCTAACATCCAGTGCTTAAGGAGTTTGTTCATGCAACTGCTGCTAAGCACTGTGCTGAAGCAAGACAGACACAGCTGATCTCACTCAGGGGAGAAAGAGCAGAGGAACTACATTGAGACTTTCAGGGGGGACGGAGGGGAAGGAAAGAAAAAGCACAACGTGCATTACATCAGTTTCATAACAAATTATGTACTAAAATCATTGGCAGAAATAGGTTCTGATTGCCTGTTGAAGGTATTTAAAGATTTTGTTTCTTTTGCAAGACACAGACTGTTACAAGCACCCCCTTCCCCATCCCAGGGTACCTGGCAACTCAGAAAGGTAAGGAAAAGACATTAAAAGGCAGAAAGCAAAGAGGATAGAGCATCAGCTGAGCAGAAGACTCAATAAAGGCACATATTGTTACCAACAGAAATACTCTACAGACCACAGGCTGAAACCCACCATCTTAAACTAAGCAATCAATGAAAAATAGCTGAGAGCTGCAAGATTAAATTCCTCTATACCTCCATATCTCTACTGGAAGATTTATGAGGGTCTGCAGATCAAAAGAGTGTAAGAACTGTTGCTATATGAAACCAATGTTCTTAGTATTTTTGTTGCTGTCTCCTTTGTTACCTGATCAGGTGAATCCTCTTTGTGGTGTCTTGCAGTTTTCATTATTAGCTATTAACCCCATGCTCTTTGGGCTGTGACAAGCACCCAGCGCAGTCTCCAAGTCTTCCTGTGTTGTGCCTTGAAGAAATAACCTGATTGAGCCAAGGGGCCAAGTGCTAGACTCTGAGCAGGCGGCCAGCTGGGTAGTCACACACTAGCTTTCAGAGACATCTGTATCGCAGCAGGGACCAAACTGGTACTGAACTTCAAACTAAGAAGAAAAGTAATCCCCTAAGCTGCAACTTCCCTAAAAGCTGGCAGCTAAGAACTGCCAACCAGTAATGACAGTTGGCAGCTCCAGTCTGAGGCTTTTTCCATTTAACTTGCCCATTCTCCCCAGTTCGGCCAGGGCAGCAGCACACAGATGTCTCCATTGTTGTAAGACACAGCATTTTCCACAAGACCTTGGAACTCCCTTGTGAACCATCTCTCCTTATTAAGGAGCAATATTCCTAGTGGGAATTATCTTGCATGGAGGCAGTCCTCAAGCGCATGCTTATGGTCTTCTCCGCCTGTCCCTATTCCATCAAATTGGCACCTTTGGGGCAGGGATTTTCCATTCAAGTTTCCCACTTGCAGGAGCGGGAAGTTTGCTTTAGGGCCAGCTCCCAGAGCCTTGACCCTGTCAGTCAGTCCCTGAGGAGACACTGCAACCTCAGGGTGAGGTTTCAGCAGAACACTTTGGTTTATGTAGTTTTAGCAGCAGAAAGATACCTCCTACTGCCCTGCTTTTCCCACCCCTTTCAAGTCCAGCTGGACAAATCCTTCCAGGATAACCTTTCAAGTTCAACGTGTTGTTTAGTAGAAACCTACAGGTGAATAAACAACCCATTTAGTGACAAACTTTAACACAAAATGTGAAGGCTTATTTTAAAATAAGCCTGGCAACCTCTCAGTTTCCCTTATAAAGAACATTATGCTGTGCTAATCTCCTTCAAGGGCACAGTCTCGAGTACAGCACGTAGGCATGTGCTGCAAAGCAGCAGAATGGCATTCAGGAAATCAGCTGGTGATTGAGCAAGGAAGCATGAGAAATCAAGATCCAAAAAACATCTCCAACAGCAGCTGTGCAATAGGTTTGTGTTTCCTAGCCTGCTTCAAGACCCCTTTCTTTTCTAGATGTGCCAAATGAATTATCACTATACATCTATACGATTAATTTGATAAACCTATATAATCAAGAAAAGATACCAATTCCTCAGGCATTTGCTTGATCTTATCCCGTGCCTAACAGGGTCTTCAGTTTTGATACTGAAAACTGAACTTTTACAAACCTACCTGTGCATATGCGGCCATGAAATGTAACTAACACTAATAAATACCCATTTTACATACATATCTATATGAAAAATATCCCTGGTGACAGGTAACTGTAAGCCAAGCACTTATCTGAAGCCACAGAACAAAGTTTATTGGATCTCCTCAAATTCTTTGTACAGTTTTGTTGCTAAACAGACACAACACGTTGGCATATTGCCTTTAATCTTTATTTCAATCGGAAGACCAACTTGAAAGAATTGGTAACACATTTAATGGCATTTTTCAATAAATAAAATGACAAAAAAAATCTAGTCTTTGCACAGACACATTACAATCCACTCCAAATATTGCCAAAACCATTGGGTTTTTCCTAAAAACTTGCTCCAAAGGGTTTTTTTCTCCCCTTTGTTTCAGCACTTAAATAAACAGAAAAGTATATGATGAGAGAAAACAGATACTCTATTCTGAACAGAACTTGTAAAAGCCAGTAACTTGGAAACAAAAGATAATTAAATCTCTCTTATTAGATTAAAGAATCCTGTTTGAAGTCTTTTGGGGAAAACCCTGATTCTAACTTTCGTATCACAACATGCAGTTTTGCTGGATCCTACCCTGTATCAGCATACTTATATGGTAGGAACTAAATTCCATGATTTCTTGGGTTTTTTTAAGGGGAAATTCACAAAGCGAAAGCTTTATCCTCCCACACTCACAAAAGTAGTCATGGTCCATATATTCTGCAGTAGTAAACAGTTATTTGTGCTCAGTCCATTGTTTGAACCCCTACCAGACTGGGAAGGATGCCGCAGTTTACCCTTTGTTTCTGTACCCATCTCTTCCCCAGTCCAGCAGCCCCAAGACCCTCACCAAGATGAGAATTCATGCAAATGCAAATCTGCCTGCACAGATCAGATTGCAGGATGAAGACCACCATGTCTGATTCTAATTAGAAGCTAGACTTAATTTAAAGCTTTTCCTAAACACAGAGAAAGTCATTGGTAAGGAAAAGCTGAACCCCAAGTTCTCCAAATTGTGATTCCCTGTAATTTACAACATCCATTAGTGTATCACAAACCAACTACAGTGTCAGTTAATGTAAAAAGATCCACTCTATCACTAGAATTAGTTAAAACACTCATCTTCAGTGAAAGCTTAGGGCATGCAAGGAATGCACGGCTGGGCCCCCGCAGGCCTATGCATACTATACAGGGGAGAGAAAAGGTTACTTTAAACAAAAGGCAGAATTACATCACATCTGTGCAAACATTTAAACCAGTTTGTTTCAACTACTTATCTGCTTATCCCAACTATACCTACTGACCATACTTGGCTAATTCAAGAGAACACGATGAAGCAGGACCCAATTTATTTAAGGGAAAGGAACGTTTTCTGCAGGTATCTTCCCTCCCACTGACCCCATCATAAGTGCAATAATTTATAATCTTTCCAAATGAACAGCTACTAAAATTATACAATTTTAGGGTGGAAAAAAATCACTAGTTTAACCATAAAAATATTTCCCCAGGTAACAAACCTTAAAGCATTCAGTAACACAGTATTTCAATAATAATACAGAAAATCCCTTCCATCTGTTACAAAAGAAAGAACTGTTAGAAGATTCTGCTTATTGTACACTATTTAAGAGTTTTGCTGCCTTCTGAGGACCATGTTGTAATTAAGAATGTAACTGTAATTTAAAATGAGTACAGAAATACTGACCTGGCTTAGAAACTATAGTCTTAACTTTCTGCTAATGAAGACAAAGTAAAGCCCAGGGCCATGTCATCAATGTACTCAGGAACAAAAGACAGTTTACATCCAGAGTCATAAGAAAGCACCACTTTCCATAAAGTACTTGGTATGTCTTTTGCTGAACAGCGTAGTAAGTAATTTTGTGAGAACTGCTAAGACAGATTCCCATACTAACTGTAGCTTGACTTACAGAATTCAGGTTTGGGTATAACAGGGAACTTTGTGATGAAATTATACTCTGAAAAAAATACCTGCTAAATTTGGTCCAAGCATCCCAAAACCAAACAAGGGCACAGTTCTCTCATTACTTAATGCTGCTGTTTGGTTGATCCTTAAAATAAATAAATAGGTGTATGGCAATAAGGAATAAGGGCTGCCCATGATAGGCACAGAACTGTGACAATAAATAGTCTCTTCAGAGAGATGTTTTGACTGTGGTTTTACTGTGCGAGTAACTGAACTTGTACTAATGGAGAACCCTGAAATTTATATACTATAGCCACAAGAAATGATTTCCTGTTTAAAAAACATTTGTAATGAACTGCTTTTCCAATCATCAGTAGATCCGTGGAAAACCATTAAAAAGAAAAGAATCTTTTAAAACGATTACAAAGAGTGGACTGCAGTAGCAGCTATTCAAGCAAGATTCAAGCACAAGTTGAAATGAACTTTCAAGCTGGGAATTAGCCTTCTTTGTCGAAAATTTGTACAACTTTTTCAAAAACCTAAAAAGAGAAGGAAGAATATTAATTTTCTCACGTGCCAGTTAAACAGTTACTTCAAGTTAAACCAGTGCACACAATAATTGGGAGTACTTTTAAAAATACATAGGTTTGTCTTAGAACATTCACAGTAATTCTTTAATAGTGAAATTAGCATCAGTTCTGAGAAACTGAGATTGAAGAGTAATACTACTTCAGAAAAGCAAAAGCTCATGGAAGGGAAAAAGATAAGACATTGTCAAACACAAAGTGTGTTTAGTCCAGGTCATGTTCAAGCAGAACTAATTGATCTCTTAAAGTTATTCACATTTTAATCAGTTCTTCAAGAGTCAAAATGAGAGTTCCACAACCTCCCTCAGTAACACCCATCAGAAGAATGCCAAAAATACACACCCTGCCACTGTCACCCCCATGCTTTCTGGCTTTTGTACTTACTTCATCAACAGATTTAGAGGCATCCACTTTTCTGACTTTTCCCATTCTCTCATACAAATCTATTATAGGCTTCGTAGACTGCAGATATGTATGAATTCTAGGAGAAAGCACAGGGGAAAAAAGCATTACACAGTAAAACATAAACAGAAGGGAATGGAAAAGTTCTGAAGATAGTACCTCTTTTCCAGACTCTCCCGATTATCATCACTCCTACCACTGCTCTTGCCTCTTTCAAGACAGCGGCCAATACATATCTATAAAAGACATCAAAAGGATTATCACAACCAGGAACACAAGGTGCAATCTTGAAAGCAGGAGTAAAACAAATCCTGAAAAATCCAAATAGGCCTGACACACAAAATACTGCCCAGATCTGGTGGACGTAACCACAATTCACATGGAATGTTAGATTCTTACAGAGAAAAAAGGAAGGCTTTACACTTTATCATTATTAAAATGGGGACTCTTAAGATAGGACTGAGATCAGTGGAAGTAAAAACAACATCAAACTCAGTGGTTTGACTGGGTCTCCAGTTTGAGACATTTGAAGACGAAAATCACCTGACTTTCAAGAACGTGTTCAGGCTTTCTGAAAAGCAGAATGTCATATTAGACTACTAATACATGCCTGCACTGAAAGTCACTGTATATTCCCTCAACATTTTCATAAGGCTATATACTAAATTACTATGAGTTAAAACGTTACTTGACACTGCTACAATGAAGACTTCAAAATCAAAGTAAAAATCGAAGAATTAACCAGAGTTAAAAGCTGCTCAATGAACGTTTTGAAGTTCTGAAACCTAAAGTTAAGTAAGGAACGCTGACACATGTACACTTCATGAATACACTTATCCTACTCATGCATGACGACAATCGTTAAAAATTAAGTGTTTCCTATAAAGTACACCCACAGTAAAAAACATTCAGAAGATCACATAAGCATTGTTATTGTTAGATCTAGTAAAAAAGTTAGAACCCCCAAATTAATATTCCACCAAGTGAAAAAAGTCATTTAATCTTACTTAAGATTTTAAATAGAAAAAAAATAACCTTTGACTTGTTGAGATTAAAAAAGAACTGCAATTAAGAAAAAAAAAGTAACAAAATTTCTCAGGAAACTGAGGAAAAGGGTAAAAGGAAGAAAGCTTAAGGTACTGGAATCCGCATATGAGTTTTTATGTCTCAAAGGCACTGACATGTTAAAAAGACATCATATCATGGCACTTGTTAAATGAATATAATGTATCACTGTCAAAATGTCCTTGTAATCTAATGACTTGCTGAATAATATGTTGATTAGTGGCTATCCTATAGCACAACTCACAACTGAAAATGAAGTCAGCTCCTACCAGCACACTGGAATTAAAGCAGGCCTTGCTAGCAAGTTAATTTTGGACTAACCAGTTACTAAGAATAAACAGTGTAATGCTTTCTGAAAATTAACCAAGTAATTTTGTACAATGTATTTAAAGATTTTATACATTTTCCTTAAGAATGCAACTGGCTGAAGAACTTCAATATAATTTACTAGCACATGATTATACCAGGCGCAATGAGCTGCCATTTCAAAACCATAGTTTTTCATCTGCAAAAACAAGTTGCCAACATATCCTCAAAACTCATATACCAAGTTTCCCTTCCACTCTTACACTTGTCCATTCACTACCTGACATCTTTCTTGCTCTTGAATGATTCCAACAATATAGCAAGAAAGGAAGTTAAAGAATAACACACTTCATTACCTCATTGTCACAATCAAAAAAGAGAACAAAAGAAACATCTGCCTTTCCATCCATAGTCTTATTCCAGCCTTGAAGATTATCTTCATTCCTGGGAAATCCATCAATTAAGAACTTGTTCTTCTGGGAATTGGTAGCCATTGTTTGATCCATGGCCTGATAAAAGAGAATCCAATTAATGATCTCCTGCACATACAACCATTAATCTAATTATTAAATTACCCCCAAAATGTTGGCATGGTGAATTGAGCTGCATTTATTTTAGGATTATTGAAGAATTACAAAATGTATTTTTGTTTCACCTTCAATACATGATAATTAATCCACCCACACACCAGTATTGCTTTCTTTCAAACTCAATTCACTGTTTGATAAAGCTCAATCTTGTAACACTCAGCCTCAGTTTTAAAGGCAATTTTCTACAAGACACTGGAAAGTACTGTTACACAGTAAGATGCCAAAACACCCTTGACCTAGACTTAATTTTAATAGGAAAACTAAGATAAATATAGTGCCATGAGCAACAGAAGCCTTTTTTGTCTTCAAGAAGATACTCTGGTTGTTTTCTTGGGCTGTAATAGGAATAAAGCTGGAGTTTTTCCTGACACAGGAATACTACAGGTGCTCTCCCTCCATCTGGCCACCACTTTTGATAAAACTTACAGAAATGTAGTGCCTTTAAGGCCTCCGCTCTCAAGTCAAATACAACTGAGCTGACCAAGAGGTGTACAAGCTAGTTAAGGGAAATGAAAAAATGCAGAGTCTCACTGATTTCCCTAGAGCTAATAAAATAATAAAATAAAATTAAAATTACCCATTCTCACAGATCCCCAGGTATCAGAAGCCAACACCTACTGCCCTCCAACCAGTCAGAAAGAAACATGAGCAATTGCCAAGAAAAGCCCAGTACATGATGTGCACCTATGTGTCTGCCATTTCATATTACTCACACACAGGAAACACAATTCTTCTAGAACGCAGCCACTGCTTTGTTGCTTAGTCTGCATGAGTGAATCAGTAGGAAATAGCTCTTTCCTTACCCTCTTGATTAAGCTGATTGTTATTTCCACCGGTACAATTTCCCCCTCCTTAATGTAGTTCTCAATGAGTTCTCCATACTGTGAGCCTGGCCTTTTTCGTTCATCTCGAAGGAGGTCACCAGCAGAAAGGTGCGTATAGCCGTATTTCTGAAATGTGCAAAACAAAGAGACAGAGACTCCTTTGAATGAGTACACGTGCAAAGTTAACATCAGTTGTCAGTGCCAGCCATGTTTATCTGTGCATTACAACAGAAAAAACCCACAGGGAATAACATTCTGCTGGTGACAGATCTACTCCATCCTTAATGTGCAACCTAATACAGCATCCTCTGCATTCACAACAAGCACATCACTAGAGAGATTATTGGGGAAAATGCTCAGTGGGGCTTTGGTCAGGCATCTGTGGACTGTTTTCAAAGGTAATTTTGTCACATTTGGAAATGAGACTCTGAAATGTTACATTGTTCAATTAAACATTTAACAATAACCAAATTGGATATAAGGTATACCCTGTCCAAACAGTTTAGCTACTTAAAAAAGGTGGTTACCAGTGACTGCGTCAAGTCTTGATTTACAAAGTGAAAAAGTTGAGATAGTGCTTTTACTTACTACGTTTATGCAATAGGTTTATAATTTTATCTAACTGCCTACTTGCATAAAGTACATGAGGTGATTCCAGGTCCTTTGGGCCTCAAGGAATGTTTCAAGCACAGTAATAGTCAGAATCCTGTGGTAAATAACCACACTGGTGCCACCCTAGGTCACACCAGGTACAGTAAAGAGAAAGAGCAGAGAAATCAGGTCCAAATCCATTTGGTACCAGTATGCAGGAAAACAGAAAACATCATTACTCTTTTATTTCACCTCAAACTCCATCTAGAGAAATGTTGCTAAGGCAAAATATCAATGAAAAGCATTTATTGCACTTGAATTTCTCAGGCATTTATCATCATAAATAGGCACCTTGTGAGAAATAAATTGCTATAAAGGAAATTTCAGAGCACAAATCAATCATTTTCTCAGCTCATTTAACACCCCTAGAAAACTAACCAAGTATACCATGCTTCTTGAACCAAATTTAGTCCATAACAACAAGCAATAAAGACATCTTCTTGGTGACTACCTAAGCTAGCTATACATCCAAACCAGAGTGCATCTATACATACTCATCCTAAAGTTCTAATACAAAACAAAGGGAGCTGCAAAAAGCTTCAAGGTTATCAGCCTGGCTGCAGCAACATCCAAAGCAAATTTCAAAAAGGTGCCTGAGCAGCAGAGCAATGTGACTACACACTGTTTAAGGATGCGAACTTGGGATTTAAGAACTTGGCTACTGGGCTAAGTACAACAGAAATATTACACAACCCACTAAGTGATGTTAAAAACATTTCAGTTGCTTTCCAATTTCACCCACAAAAGCGTGGAAAAGTCAGTTCTGCCACAGTCATAATTTCAGAAGGGATATAATTACCTAAATCTCCAAAACTCTACACAGCTGGCAAAAAAAAAGAGGAAGCAAGATTTTGCTCTAAATAACTGTGAAGAAAAAGCTCCACAGACATCCTCTGTAAGCTCACTGTACTCCTGCTTTAAAGTACATTTCATTTGGATATGCCTATTTAATTGCAAATCTAAATATTAACTATCTACTACAGAAGCCATAAACCAGAATAAATCTTCCTTATAAGCAAAAAACCTTACTCTGCTGAACACTAAATTAACATGTAGTCCTTGCTAAAGTTAAGGAAGGATGGTATTTTTAACATCAGGTTTCTACAAAGGAGAAAACAGGAGGAAAATATAATCCCTTCGGTTTTAGAGGATTACCAAACCATTTAACTTTCCTTGGCATTTCCCTTTCATGCATGAAAACAAAATTGAGTTAGACAAGTTTTGGAATTCTCTGTGTTTTACAACATCAAACTCAAATAGTTCTCAACGGCTGAACAGGAAAGTAAAAGATAGAAGTGTTTTAAAGTGCTGTTGTATAAATAGACTTGTTTTAGATAATAGTAAATTGTATTCTTGAGTAACTTTCAGACTGGATTAACCAGGCAGTAAGAAAAACAAACCTCTCCTTCAGGGGCAAAACATCTATTTGTTAACTGTACTGAGTCAAGAGCCAAAGAAAACATGTTGGTTTAAACAATACAAACAAGCAGAGAGAAAGGCTTGGCTGCTGCTTCATACACAGAAGGCTTCAGAGATGCGGTGCTCTCGCTACTCTTGCCAGTTTCAACCAGTGCATACAGGATACAAAGTTTTCTTTCATCTTAGGTGAGATAAACCCTCAGCAAGCATCCTGAATTGGAGAAAATCACCACATTCCCCAAGAGCTTGCTAAAGAGACTGTGATGCAACTGCACAAAAACCAAGGCAAAACACTCCTGCATCTTGCCAAGGTTTGCATTGTGCCAGCATGACTCCCCAGCACTGCCAGGAACATCTTGATGCAATCCCCAGAACGTGACTTGTTGCAATTGTTGCCTAATTCTTCTCCTCAGCAATCAGAAAGGGAGCAGGATTGTGGCTGCCAAACAATGAAAAAGCAGTTTCTCCAGGTCTTGAAGGAAGCATATACGGCAGATTCATAATGTCCGACTGAAAGGAAGACTTGAAACAGAAATTAGGTTAAATAAAATTTCTAAATACTTGAATGCCAAGCACCTAAAATCTGGACAGATTTTTAGATTACAGAGAAGAAAAAAGAATATACAGAATTAACTGTTCTAAAACTTATTTCAGAGATAATGTTTTCTGCTATGCTAGTGGACTGGCATGCTGTTCTATAAGAAAAAGATTAAATCAGTAACTTGCTATTACACAGTTCTCATTATTTTTAAAACTATTTTCATATTTGGAGAACCATAATCAAAGTACAAATACAAAAATTAACTGTGAATGAAGAAAATAAAAATCAGATGTCTTCAGCACCACTGTAGACATCTTTCTTTTTTGCTTTCCAAAAGAAAACCCCCACAGTGATGTGGGACAGGCAAGCTCATGTTTCCATCAATCCCACCATGGAGGTGTCACTCATAACAGCACTTTGCAGTACTGTGTAAGCAGAGCAAGATACCGCTTGCTTGTTTCACAGTGGCCTGATAAATCAGTGCCATTCTGCAGGACATACTGGGACATGCAAACTATGTGCTCCACATCTCCAAATTACAACCAGAGACTGCAGCCTTCCCGGAATGCCCTTTGCTCCCCTGTTCTAGAGCCACTTATAGCTTTCTTCTGTCAGCCAGGATTTGCAACTTCCACTCTGCAGACAGAACATGCTTTGTTTTCAGTAAATACAACAAACGGATGAATACAACTGAAAACACATGAGTCATATCTGTGTCACACTTGAATAAGGCAGAATCTGCCCTAGCAATCTTCTCAAGGCAGTAAAATCAGTGGTGTGCAGCAGCTGCTGCAGGGACTCCTTACACATCCAGCTTTTGAGGGGCACAAGGTTTATTTCTGATTCAGCCCTGTGTGGTCCAGCAACACATCTCTCCACTAAACACACAGCTTGAGACTTCCTTAAGTGAGCAGAAGCCAAGAAAAAGCAAGAGAAACACAAATTACTGCTTTGACCTTGATTCCTATCTTGGCTTATCACTGTTACTCTCAAACTGAAAGTTATAGGGCTTAAAATATAAACACATCAAATACAAACTTTTATTGCCCTAGTTCTGACCTGTCATATCTTGGCAACCTTAATAAACAACCAAAATCTGCTACATACATGCATCCTTCAAGAACTAGTTAAAATAAAAATAGAACCATGTAAAGCTTGCAGCCTTTTCTTTTTTTCTTTTTCAACCTAAAAAGCTTTTGTCTGTCCTATAGCAATTAGCCCACAGAATTAAAACTCTGGGATATAAACTATAATGGAGAAATAGACCTTTTGTCTACTTATTCCAATAAAAAAAAAGAAAAAGATATTTTATTAGCTTGAAATATGTTCTTGCCTCTGGGGGAGGAAAACCAAACAAAAAGCCACATTAACAAAACAAAACACACAAAGAAGATCCCACTGACTGTGCCCCCAGGGAAGAGGGGGCAAACAGAGCACCCCAGTGCTCCAGGAACACCGAGCTCAATAAAAGGCACCCAGTATGCTTGGGAAAGTCCAAAATTCAATGCCCAGTGTTCTGCAAAATGGAAGCATACAGGGCTAAAACTTCAGGGGGCAGATTTAAATGATCACTCACCATGCTTTTAAAGACGCTCCAATGTTCAGAAATACAAACGTATTCCAAAAAACAACTATAGGAACTTAAGGCCAAGTAGAATATTAATACTTGGCACTCCTGAAAGATTTCAGAAGTTGAGTTTAAAGAAAACAGTTTTAAAACCATTTTTATTTCAGAAGGAAGCTAAAGCTGCTTCTCTCAGTGGACTTCGAGACGACAATTAACACATGACAGCAAAATGTAAATCCACTGCTACTTTCAGCAGTGTTTCTGATACAATGAGTTCTTCTTTGCATTGTTTCCTTTACCCTAGGAAATCTCCTTATCCTATATCCCAAAGCAACTTAACAGCTTATTCCATTTGGATTTTAACTTATACTCTTATAAAAGGAGAAGGCTCAGTGTCCCACCTTGTGGAATTAATTTGAGATTTAACCACAAACATACAGGATAGGGCTGTGGTAGAGGTGGATTTATTTTAGGTGCACAGAGAGGATGTCTTGCATATCCCAAGCATTGACAGATCACCTTGCCAAAACAAACCAACCAACAAACTAAAAGTATAACTTGCATCTTGCTTGGAATAAAGACAACTTATTTAGTTATTATTCCTCCCACCAACCAAAGAGCTTTGCATTTGAGGCAATGGTTGTAAGGATTTAAAATTTAAGTACATGAAAGCATATTGTGTGCATATTTGAAGAATGCATTTTTCTCCTTGACTTTACCATAACCATATTATAAGCAAAGCTCAGAAGTCAGCAATAAAGCACACTCATTTTGTCCTACACACACATAATAATCTCACATTCACAGAACATACAATGTGGAAAGCATGAAGGTTATTGCAAGAACCTGCTCCAATATTCTGTCTCACTCAACAGCTACACAACAGTCCTAGATGTTAGCAAGCTCCACCTAACAGAGCTGTGGAGTTAACCTGCAGAGCTAGAAGGGAAAGGATAAAAACTTACAAGTGACTTCTGCTTCATCCCATTCTATATAGGAGGAACTGGCCCAGAGCAGCAGTTCTGCTGCATTTGCATTTCAGTGACAATTCTGTGAGTTTGTAGGACATACATGAGTCTTTCCCCTGTATCAGAGAAACCCAGCCTAGTTCAGCTGTCTCCTCTAACCTTATCTGCAAAGATAAAGTAACCTAACCGCTTACCTGCTGTTCCCTTTCATATACTGTGTCAATACCCATTTCCGCTGGTTACTGCATTTTCTTCCCTCAAATAATTTCTCCAATTTGGTCCAAATTTGACATGAATACATGCCTTCTCTGGAATAAGGGACTCCAGCACACACATAATGAGGAGTTATGATTTAGCCTAGCACTTAAATACATATTTCACCTAGAACATGTGATTCCTTTACTGGGAATGTAAAGCATAGTCAGCAAAAGAGTTACAACACTTCTTTGAGGAATCATTCCCAGGTAGTATATAATACCTCCTCTACTGTACAAAACACAACTACCCTTGGTTTGTTAATCAAATAATTTAATGCTAAAATCATACAAGATCTCACCTCAGCAAAGTGAGACTTCTCTCACATGTGATGTGCTCTGTCCCAAATCTCTAGTATGAATAGCAACTGAGAAGTATTTATAGCTCATACTGACTTTCTGTTCAGGACAAACTTCAGATTTACAGCAAGATACTGGGTCAGATTCATTCCAAATGTAAACTAATATTATTCAGACCATTTACAACAAGGATGAATGAGGCTTATTATTGGCCAGCTACAGCCCCTTTCCTCTGTGGCAAGCTGCCAACAGGGTTTAAAATCCAAACAAAAATACACCTTCAACCCAAACGCAGCAATGACTGCATATAGGCTATTCGACTGCCTGCATCAGGGCTCTCTGGAGGGCTGCTGGGAGCCAGGCCAAGGATGCGTGCTTAAAAAAGGTGCTGCTCTGCAGTACCTCTGCTGCATTTCATCCTATTTTCCTGTTCATGTCCCCCTTTTCTAAAGTTTTCCAGCAGGCTTCAGCCCAACTCTCCCTTCAACTACCTCAGACCTTCTCTCCCTCGAAGTTTTGCCAGAGATTCCTGTAGAAGTGTCCAAGTGAGCAGAAAGGCCATTCACTGCACTCAGCAGGTTCAAGTGCTTTCTGCTGTCAGCCCACTGACTTCAATAAACTTCTTCCTATGCAGTTAAACGGATTAGCAGAATTAAAGCAAATTTGTATTTATTAGTATTTGGACTTACCTTTCTAGGCTTAGAAAAGAAAATAAAAACAGTACTAGCAAAGTTAGCATTCTTCTTTCACTTTTAGCTGCAAATACAATTTCAGTAGCAATGACTTATTTGAACTCCGCCTAATAAAGTGGTCTTCATCCAATTATGACTATCAAGCCAAAGGCATTTATACTTCTACACACAGGCCAGCAGCCACACAAGGTACTTCAGCCCTAAGGCTGCATTAACAGTTTGGTGAAAGCCATTAATGACAGCCTACAAGATTCCCCTACAGTTTAAACTCATTTGTTTGCTATGTGCCAGGGGCAGAATCTGACCTTACCAAAAAGGCTTTATGAGCACTATGAACCTTTCATTCCACAATTTAATTTAATGAATAAGCCAGTTTGAATGAGAGTCTATAATCTGAGGTTAAAATCCTTCAGGACCAAAGTCATAACGGCATTTTTCAGTCTGGACCAAATCCGCATAACTTAGTTATACAATACCAAGGGCTGGGATATAATGGCAGCGTGGATAAACTGTAACAGCACTGCCAGGACACCACCAGAATAGACAACACACATAAAGTGCCTGCACCAGGAGCTCTAAGGTTCCCCTCCCCAGTAGTTAGATTCAGGAACGTGGGCACTGCTACAGTTCTTAGTCTTTTCTTTCAGACCAGGTATGGATAAACTTCAATTCTACACGGCCCTCAGCAAGAAAAATATATACAGCTGCTCAGAAAAGGAAGGGGGAAAAAAAAGAAAAGCTGTTTCAAATCCAACAGGCACACATGCACACATGTTTGGAAGCATTCAGCCTTAACTACTTCCGTAATTATCCACCTAAGTACAGTGCAATTATCCCTGTGTTTTGTGGCTTTTAAAAGGACTGTACTACACCACATAACAGTCACCGTTCTCTCTTAGATATTTGTTCTCTTTCAAAGGGGTGTAAAAATGTATTTGGAAAGCCGAAAATGTGAAAAATATAGCAGTCTTCACAAGCTGTACCATAAGGATTAGGCTTTTGGAAAGAGAGAACAACATTAATCATCTGTGTGTCAGGACATCCTCTGATCTCTACCATATTCTACCATAGAACAAAATTTTAGTTCTATTTGTAACATTTTACTTTCACATCTCACAGAGATGGCGTCAGGTCAGAAAGCCAACACCCTGCAACGTCTACTGTACGTTTATGGGACAGGCTTCAGAAGACATGGACCTTGATCCTGCACATATGAAGTCAATATATTCCCAAGTACTGTAAGCCACCTTCAATCCCAGGCCACAAAACAAGCAGCCTGAGGCATGTGGGTGGCAGCTCCGCAGTCACCTACGTGGCCATGCAGATGTGTACAGAGCCACCCAGTTGGGCTGGGCTGCATGACAGGCTAGACAACGTGTCACCACCCAGGAAAGCAGGAACTTCTTGAGGGCTGCATTCCTGATCCATCCACAAGGCCCAGTGTGTGACCGATGCTCCCAACCAAAACACTGCCAGTAACTCTAAGCGGGTGTCCCCGGGGGGATGCCAGGAAAGGTAGACCCACCGGTGGAGTGGGATCCCTGGGGCCGAGGGAAGGCAGAAGACAGAAAAAGGCCGACAGGGGCTGGAATGGAATGGAGCGCATAGAGAGGGTGCTGCCTCCGCTGCTTCATCAATTAAAGGGGGGGATGCAGATCATCCATGCGCCCTCCAAGGGCCGGATCAGGATTAGACAAGAGCCCGGGCCGCAAGGGTGACGCGGGGCTCGCCGCCGGACACGCTCCCCCCAGCGACCACCCCAAGCAGAAGCGCGGACCCCCAAGGGGACCTACAACCCCCAGCGTGCCCCGCGGCCGCGCCCGCACAGCCTCCCGCTGCCGAGCCCCGCGGCACGCTGGGACGCGTAGTCTCCTATCCCCCCACATCCCTAACCCCGGCGGCGGGTGCGCTGTCCTTACCTCCACGATGCGAGCGCACTGCGTCCCCTTGCCCGCCCCGGGCCCGCCGAGGACGAAGACAACGACGGGCTTCATGAGGAGAAGGAGGCGGCGGCGGAGCAGCAGCAGGACAGCGGTGGCGGGGAGGCGGCCGGGGGGCGGCCGTGAAGGGGGCGGCGAGCGGCGGGCACCGTGGCCAGGACTGAGACCGGGAGAAGGACCGAGCCAGAGCCGCTGCAACACACCCGCTGCTGAGCTGTCCCCGCCGATGGGAAAGTGCTTCCGGGTCCCCGGCGGGGCGGGGCCGGCACGTGCGCACGGGGCCCGCGGCGGTGGCGGCTCTTCCGTCCGGTACGCACCGAGGCTGCCCCGTGAGGGAGCTGCCGCATCCCGGATCGGCCACCGGGCCCCTACGGCAGCCACAGGCGCGTGTCCGGGTGCAGGCCCCGACTAAGCCAGGGGCGCTGTTGGGCAGCTCACGGCCCGGGACACCGGCTGGGAAAGGCTAAAGCCGGAGCGAGGCTCCACCCGGAGCGGGCACCGGGTCGGTTGTACCGGTTTACTCCGGAACCTCTGTCAATCTACAAGCCCGATCAGCCGGCGGCGGCCCGCGCTGCCATGGCAACCGCACTGCGCCTGCGCGCTCCCCGCCCTCCCGCTGACCGTTTTTTTTGACCGCCGGCGTTTTAAAATCCCCCCTTGCTCGCGCGCTGGTTGTTTCCCCCCGAGCGTACGCTCTGATTGGTCAAACTGAGCTGTTTCCCTCCCACGCCGTGCGTCGATTGGGTGGGAGCAGGCAGTAGGGGGCGGGAGCGCAGCCGGTTGTGTTCTCTGATTGGCTGGCGGGCGTTGGCGGCGGGGAACGAAGGGTCGGTCGTAGTGTCTGAAGGCGCCGGAGTCGGGCGGGACGGGTGGTGCCCCGGCGGGAGCCTGGGCGGTTCTCGGAGCCTCCCTGTAGGGACTGCGGCGGTAGCGCGGTCTTGAGGTCGGGGTGTCACTGCTCACTCCCCCTTTCTGTCGGGGAACGCTGGCGCGACCCCTCTGGTGCTCGGCTGAGGCGGGGGCTGTTGTGGGCAGGCCCTTCGCCCCGCGGCAGGAACAGGAGGAGTAGGGGGCAGAGGTGCGGCCGTTCTGCATGGACCCTGTTCTTCCCAGCCTGGATCTGAGGTACCCGGTCTGGGAGGGAGGGTGCGCTGTACCCTTCTTGATGAGGGGGATAGGTGGTGCCCGTTATGGCACACGTTGGGTCCGGTGCCGCCTCGCGAGTGGTTATAAGGAGCTCTGGGGGCGTGTTTCTGATACGTGCTAGCCGAAAACTAGTGAAAATAGCGGGTCTTTAAAATGTTTGCCCTTTTAACATGTTAAATGGCACTTGTTTGGAAGGGTGTTGGCTTTTAATGGGAATCAATTAACGGTTACATGAGAGGCAGGCGAGTTGCTTAGAGCACCGCCTTAAAAAACAAAGAGTTCTTTCCTGGCAACTTGAGGAAATGTAAAGAGAGCACCTTAGCACAGCCTGACGCTTCAGTTAACTACGACGGAAGTTCTTGCGTATTTAAAAGTGTTGAGATATTTGCTGAATGTTGTAGACCATCAAATATTTTGTATTTTGTATAATATAGTTCAGGCAACTCTTAAAAATGTGATCTCACTTGTGTAGATTGGTTTATGTGGCTACATATGAATTTCTTCAGGCCTTTTTGAAGTGTTTTTTCCAATTTTTGCACTATATTACTTGAGTTAAGGCTTTTTGTCAGAAATCTTCAAAGCTGAAGTGGAGTGAATGCTGACTTGAAAAAGTGACTAAAACAGGGCTTTTGGAAGCTGGTGTTATATCAAGATTTTCTGTGTGCCATTGGAGTTTAATGACTGATAAGCTTTTCCTTTCATACACTATATCCAGAGCAGCAGCTTCTTGAGCTTTATCTGCAAATTTGTATTTTGGCCTGCACATCTTCCAAGATCCCATGAAGGAACTGTCAGGTGGAAAACAAAAGATTTGTGTTGATTTTGTAGTTCATATGCTTGACATCTTCATAAGATAAAGTTTCTACTTCATTGGCCTGGTCTGGAAACAAAGAGTACCAACAGCTTATTCATGCTATTTGTTGTTTTACTTAGTGTTATTCCTTTGTTCCTTCTTATAAGTGGTGTTTGAAACTGCTAAGCTTATTCTGTTTTCATTGTTTATCTCTGTGATTTTCTTCCCAGATTTGTGCCCGAAAGGATGGTCCCTTTCAGTTTCCCTCTGTCAAAGTGTGCACTTTGGGACCCAGGCCCTATTGGTGATGTCATTGGCTCACATATTACCTATTACAGGTATGAATACCTTTTTTTAAGCAGCTAAAGGTTAAAATCAATCAAGAATTACATAATTCAGAGCCTCGTTTATCTTTTGAGCCTAGTGTGTGACAAGAGACAAAGGAAAAAGAAAAAACTGGTTTATGAATTATAAATATATAGGGATTTTAATTGGAAAGATTTGAGAGTTTCTTTCTATGCTGTAATACGGTCAAATGGGTTTGAGGGCCCTCATCCTAAAGTAAGTTACAATTTCTGTTCGTTTCCTTCTCATATGGAAAGGTGTAAAGGTAACTGTATATTTGTCATTTTCTTTAACACATTTTTGCTTGTCTCTAAATATTTACAGAGAAACAAATATATCTGACAAACTGGATACAGATTGGGTGCTTCAAGTAAAACTTACAACTGAGCATTTTGCTTGATTCAGGAATCTTGTTTAGAATGCCAAAAGTTCTGATGTTTGGGAATTTCTAGGGCAGGATGTTCCAAATTTGACTTGCAAAACAAATGGAGGGCAAAAATTGATCCTTATTATTTAAATGTGTAATTTTATACAGGTGTTACAAAAATCTTACTGTAAGAGCAAGTATATGCATATATGTGTATATAAGGGTGGACAACCCTTGCAGGTCAGAGGGGCCTCCACTTGTACTTGCCACATAATATTCTTTGAGTTAATATTAAAACCTTGAAGTTTTAACCAAGTTTAAAATAAATTATGGAGGCATTTCATTTTAGTTCATCTTGATCGGGTATGGTATGAGCCATCATCACAGTATTCGTATAAACCAGTAGCTTCACTTTCAAGTCTGACCTCTTTCCAAGTCAAAGTCAGATAAGCGATCTCATGCTAAAGTGATGTTGATGTATTTACTGTCCCAGATTCAGAACTTGAGCCCAGTCTGCAACTGCTATAAGCATCCACACTAAATGTTGTGCTAAAATGAGAGAACACCATGTCAAAATCAATTAAGCCTTTTGGCCAATTCTAGTCATTAAATAATTCACTTGTATTTGTCTATAGTTCTTGTGACTATGTGGGCCAGCAGAAGAAAAAGCTTTTCCCTCTCCTTGTTACTCATTCTCCATAGAAAAAAAAAAAGAAGTTCTTCCCTCTCTTTGCTATTTATTCTCCATAGAAAATATTGTTTCTGCTCTGTTATTGGTTTGCTGGACCAGTCAAGCCAAAATATTGTTGAGATGGTCTTACAGAGCATCCTGCGGAGCTACTCTAGTTAAAATATGGCTTTCTTGAAGGTGAATGGTTGGGGTGATGCACAGAGCAGAAGCTAAAATTCCACTGACATTTTATACAACGTTGTTAATTCTAACCTTTTTGTTGTTTAGGGCTTTGGTATGTTTCTGTATGCTTTCTTTTTAAAGGACAAAAAAACCCACATGGAAGCTATTGCAATATAATAAATACTTCTTCAAACAAGCATGAAATATGTTTTGGATCTTAAGTTTGCTTATTGTCTCTTTTTAGAAACCCAAAGTTATCTATGATGGAGAAAACCTTGCGACTTGCCTATCGCCATGCTAAGCAGAATGAAAAGAGATTATTTTCTTGTTTTTTGCTTGGGACTCTTGCAGTAGATGAAGGTAACTTTAAACGTCAGGTAGACAGACAATATCAGTTGGTTAAATAAGTTGTTATCAAGGAGCCCAAGTTGCTTTTGTACTCTAATTTTATGTATTTATTTATTTTAAAGATGGGGAAGGCATAACGGTAACAATAGACCGCTTTGATCCTGGTCGAGAAGTTGCTGGTGGATCGGGCAAAATTCCAACTGCGTCTCTTCCTGGAGACTTTTTGATTCCATGTACAGTTAATGCCTGGGGACCTTCTTCAGATGTTATAGTGCATGGTGCTGAAGATATCAGCTTGGCTTTGCAGGTAGGCACCTCTTGGCAACTTCTGGGTCTCAGACGACTGGACGATGCACAGGACTTGATTTCCCATTGCCATCAATTTCAAACACAGCAGAGGTGTGGCTGAAGCAAGATGATGTAGTTGGCTATGTGAAATGACCTGCATGAGAGTCACTGAAAAGTGTATCAGAAACTATTAAAATCAGTTACTCTTCACGGGTTTTTAAGGATCACAGAGTCTTTAATCTTGGGCTAAAATCTTGTTTGCTGACAAAGTTTTTCAGCTGGTCTGACCACCAAAACCAGCAAGAGAACAGTGACTGCAACTTATTTAAACAAGAAAAAACAGGTTTTTTTTCTTTCAAATCTATCATGAATGAATTCCAGTATTCACACTACTGTAGATAAGCTATTGCTAGGCAAGTGACTTGCAAGAGAGCATATAAAGTCTATGTAGGTTAGTACTTATAACTGAAATGTGTGCTTGACATTTCTGTGCTCTGCTGTAGACATCTAATTTAGCAAATACACCTTGAATCCCTGTAAATGTGTGCCTGTAGTGGTGGTTGTGTGTATTTTACAATACAAATAATGCTTACTTCACATCTAAACTTCCTCATGCTGATACATCCAAATGTTAAAATAGAAATTTCTTTAATGTAAGAAAACTTAGATCACTGAGCCTTCTAGTTACCTACTATTTTGTTAACTTTCATACGATGTAAGTAACCCCAGGTTTTTTAATATACCATAAAATGATGCTAAGACATGCATAGCTTAATTTCAGGTATATTTTACATCATTGATTATATTCGTTATAGCCATGAGTTTTGGAAACCTGGGTTAATGACTTTTTATACAGTGCCTACTGCTGTAGTAGTAGCTATGGTGAATGATTTGAGTTCCTGGTATAATACAACTTGAATCATGGTAGTGATATGAAGACAGTGTAGTGTATTTACCTTTTTTCTGTTTTCCCCATTTTTAGGGTCTGCAGCACAGTCTGTGCAGTAAAGAATCACTGGACCTTTCTAAACTGCTCACTGTGAGAGCTCATATTATTTTCACAGAAAACCTGGATAATCTACATTTTAATTTTTACTGGGCTTCAATTACTGCAGCAAATATCTTGGAATACACCCCTGTGAAGTCTGTCCCAATCATTCCCACAGCCCTAGCAAGAAATCTGAACAGTCCAATGAATATTGCACAAGTTCAAGGAACATGTAAATGTGGGTGAGTAAATGGTGGTGATAAAGCTATCAAAGTTGCCTGGCAGTTTATTGCATTTCCTAAAGTAGGTAGGTAGGCAGGATCTCAGCCAGTGCTTTGCTTTTTGTGAAATAACTGGCATAAGAATAACATAAATTCTTGGACTTGGAAAAAATTTGGAAGATTATAAACGAGAAACATGAAATGGGGTGGGGTGAAAATAGTAACTGATTCAGTAGGGGTGCTTGCTTTTGACTTCAGTAGAAGCATCCTGTTGCTGGGGCATAGGTGTATGCCTCTAGTTAACACAATAAATACAAACAATACCCAGCTTCTTAAATAATACCAATGCTAGCCTTAGGATGAAAATCAGATGAATGTGAAACGTCTTTTTCTGTTGCTCATGCTCTTAAGATGTATTGGGGAATCATCCTTCTGACTGATAGCTAATTTAGTAGGGTGAAGTTAAGATAGACCAGGGAAATAATTTAAAGCAACTGAATGTTATTTTATTAGGAAAGAGACTTTGTGAATGCCTCTCTGAAAGTTCCTCTTCAAATTTAACATGAGTTGCACTCCTGGATTTGTATGAATACTATAATACTAAGTAAATTTTGTCCTTGATAATTCTTTAATACACAGGACATTGATGGAAAGCTGAGGAGTTGCTTTAAGTGTGAAGGAAGGATGGGTTTGATTATTTTTCTCTCCCCCTCCCAACTTTTTTCTTAGTGTTTTCTAAACATGTATTTGTCTTTTCAGGATTTTTTTCTGAAATACTGCCTTCCATAATACTAAACAAAACCCAAACTTCTGCTTTCTTTCAGCTATCTTACTATGGACCAGACACGAAAATTGCTTTTGCTGCTTGAGTCTGATCCCAAGGCTTATGCTCTGCCATTAGTTGGAGTGTAAGTGTTTGCCTCTGTTTTTACAGATTGATCTACATATTGATTTGAGATGTACTTGAGGGACTATGTAGTGGAAACTTGCTAATGAAATTATCTCTAATTGGATATTTCTTCTTGCTTCTAGTTGGCTTAGTGGAGTTACCCATATCTGTAGTCCTCAAGTCTGGGCCTGTTGCTTGCGGTATTTATTCAGTTCTTCAATTCAGGAAAGGCAAGTCACTTTTATCTATAAATCAAGGAAGCTGTTGGCTGCCTAGAAATGCATTCCACAGAAATGCATGGCAACATGGGCTCCTTTCAAAGATATTTAAGGGAATTCTGTGTTTTATATGTTATATGGGAGGTAAGGCGGTTTTCTTTGTACTTCCTGGTTTTGACTTCTGCCTTGCAAACTTTTTATGACTGAAGTGTTAGAAAGCTGGGCTGATATCTTAAACACAGAACATTAATATCATTAAAGTCTCTGCCTTTTACTTTAATGAAAAGCAGCAAGCAGGAAACAACAGTTTAAACAGTGATGTGTTTCAGGTTTTAACTTTTCTTATGGGTTTTCTCCTTGACATAAGCTTACTCTCTGGTTGTATCTGACTAACACATTGAAGCGTATTGATTTGCAGCTAATGCAGGAAGTCAAGACAGCTAAATAGTGTGCTTTTTTTTTTTCCTTTTCCATTCTGATTATATTTTGTTTTATTTTCGTTGTGATGTTGGTAGATAATCATTCCTTGTCCACTACATCTTTTCACTTGCAATATTTGTCAAGTTCTACTCACACTGAAGCTGGGAGGGAGTGCAGATATTTATAGTTTAAAACTGCTCTTCAGGCAAATGAAACTTTTAAATATGTTGTATGCATAAATATTTCTTCTGCTTCACAACATTTGCTTTTAAATTCTGAAATAAAACTACATTTGCTGAACAGATGTGTCTGTAATTACAGAAATTACTTTCTCCCCTTAACAATTTAAATATGCCCAAATACAGATAAGAGCCCAATTAGATTATTAGATGCTTGACTCTCATTAACTTTCACTGATTCCATCTTGGAAGTGGATTAGGCAGAGTTGATGAACCATGCAAACAGAATTAACCTCTGCAGACTAACTGCTTAATCTGTGCATCGTTTGTTTTTAACTCTTGAAGTTGTAAGTATCATTTTGAAGTTGTGTGTGAATGCATTTTTCAAATATCTTGTTTGTCCTGCTTTCTCCATCGTTTATCTTATTTAAAAAGAAAAACAATCAACCCTGCTCTATAAATAAGTGTATTGCATGTGCTATAAAAAGAAAAGTTATTCTGAAATTAGTACTGCCTCTTCATGGAAATGCACATTACTTTCATTATCCTTGATCTTTCGTGTTACATGTTGACTGTTGTTATTGCAATCAACCTGTAAGAAAAAAAAATTTCTTTAAAAAAAAAGTAAACAAAATTCCAGATCCATTTTGTTTTTAATATTTAAGGATAGCTGAAACACTTTAAGGGTCTATATAATACATCTCCAATTGAATTATTAAAAAAACCCGCAATACCATTTTTATAGATGCTTTCTTCTATGCTATGATTAAAGTTTTCCAGGAATTCATTTAAAGTACTAAGTGATCCTAGAGGTTTGAGCTAGAAAGTAGATTAATTATTCATACTTCCCTACTTTGCTTTGATACTTGCATGTGGCATCACTCGTGAATTCATCTGCTTTATTTATAGCTCAGTACCACTCAAAGTGCAGTGACTCACCAGTTTGTGAAACGGTGTGATAGTTTGCTCAGTATATTGAGAAACTAAGGGCCTTCTTCCTGTTTCTTAAGGTTTTTTTAAGAAGTGGGCTTTTTTTCTATTTTAGGGTTTTTTCAGAATCTGGGAGTTTTCTTATTGTGCTTTATTCGTTGACACACAAGGAACCAGAGTTTTATGAATGCATCCCATGCAGTGGACAAACTGAACTAGGGTTTCAGATCTTAACTTGCAATGAAACAGTGCACCTCTTCAAAGTAAGTGGTTTGGTTTCCTACTACATTGTGGTATTTTCAAATCTGACTTTTAGTTTAAGTACTTAAAGCAAGGGTCACTACAATGTAACTCAAATGGAGCTGCAGTGTTTGAAAATGACATAGCTCTATAAAGCTACCTTTTTACAGTGATTACTGTAAATTCAGTTTATGTCTCAAATGGAGAGATGACCTCCAAAAGTCAGCAACTGCTCACTTTTCTCATAGCAATCAAAAATCTGTCTTTTAAAATGTCCTGTGCTGTCTTGGACTCAATGCTCCTTCTTCTAGTGCCCTTTTGGCTTTATGAGCAGAGATTCTGATTTCCCATAGCATTTGTTAATCTGGTGTGCTGTGTATGTGCTGGACACATCCAACAACTGTGGTGGGTGATGCCCATCAGTGCATTCTGGGGAGCAGAGCTAGGTGCTGGTGCTTGTGCTTTGCTTGAAGTCGAATGCAAAAGGGAATTCAGTGCTTACTACTCTGTGTATCTCTTGTGCTATGGTAAGAAAGCAGGAAAAATTTCATCATTGTGCAAAGTAACTCTTTGAAAGAGTTTGATGCAGGATCTGAGATACAAGTAACCAGGTTTGAGGAAATTCAACGAAATCTCAGTTCCTTACATGTTTTCTTAGGCTTGTACAGAACTTGAAGCTGATGTGTAATCTGCTCAATAAATGCACCTACACGCTGGCAGAGAAGCAACTAGTATAACATGTGTCCTGTATGTTTACTTTTCTCTTTGCAATTAAATGTCCATGTTCAAGGCTGCCTTCCACCTTTTCCCTAGGTACAGCTTAGCTTCCTGAAGATGACAGGCCTCTTAACAGAGGCTCACTTTTGTTGTCTCTAGCTGTGGTGCATGAAACAGTGTAAGGAACAGTTGCTGTTTCCTATAGTGGTGAAAGCTTGTGGAAGAGTACCTAGGCAGTTACCACAAGGAAGCATCTGTTCATGGCTATAATTAGGCCAACTACTTTAGAGCAGGGGGAGCAGTGTTAAACAGGAAGGGAAGTTGCCTGCCTCCTTGTAGTGGTGAAAGAATTGAGAATTGAAAGTCAAGGACAAGCAGCAAGTAATCAGATACAAGCATCCTTAAAACTGTTTCTTTAGGAGTAGTACTTCAGTGGCTAAAGGTTGAAAGTTTTCATGCTTCACACATACAAAAATATTTCATTCCAGAATGTCGAACCTTCAGACAAAAGCCCTATCCAGTTTGAATTGAGTGCAGAAAACCAAAATGCAGAAACTGAGTTCTTCCGCAGAGTTTGCAAGAAACTTCCTCTCAGAAGGTAAATCTTTTGGATGTCACATATATGCAAAAATATTTATTGGATGAGGTTTTTTTGACCTGTGCCAAGTGTCAGTTTAGCTGTGAATAATGATCTCGCATTAAAATCTATGTATGTGCTTTTGTTTATTCCTAGAGTTAGTATTCCTCAAGTAAGATGGTCAAGCTGACTATATTCCAAAAGAAACTATTAGTAGTTCTACTCTTGATACTGGTGGTTTTAACTTCTACAGTGGATGTTTCTAAAAAGGCTTCTGTACTGATGTAGCTTAGTTTACTGTATTAAGTCTTCTGAGAGATCTCTCCTTTTGAGGCAAATCTCCAAATTTAAGTTGGTAAAAATTAGTTTTTCCTTCCCACTTTTCAGAGCTGGAGACCTGGATAGGTTGAAACTTAGGTTTTTTTAAGAACCTGACTTATCCAGCGATTTTTTATCTATGACTGTAAGATGGCCTTTATAATCCTTTAAACAATGTTACAATCTTTACTGTAGCAGTCCTGATCTTTCTAACATAAATCAGTGCTTTGCTCCTAGGATGTGACTTAGAGGGTATGTATGTCTGAGGGTGAGGGGAGGGTGGGTTAGTTTCTTTTTGTCCAAAAGCAGCATTTGTATTATCATTTTTAGAGCTGTTTGCTCCCTCCCTAGCTAACCAGGAAGGAGATGCATAGCAGCTACTACTTAAAGAAATGGTGCTGATACTGTGCTGTAGATGGCACAGTGAAAAACGTGAAGATTCATGTTACTGCTGCCAGATTTGACAAGCAAACATTTTTAGTTTGATTCATGTTGGTTGTAGTCCTTCCCAAGGCTGTTCACCCAGCAAGTTGTCAGCAAGTGATCATGACTCTGGTGTAGAAGATGAGGATTTATCACCCAGACCAATTCCAAGTCCTCACCCAGTGAGTCAACAGGTAACTAAGTAAATAATTGTTATCATCTCGATGTGACACTTAGAGCAGAAACACTCATTGTAAGGGGACAGGAAACAGAGTTGAAGAAATGGACCAAGAGTCCCAACTGCTGCTCTCCAGAACAGCCTTTTTTCCAGAATTACAGACACTTCAATTCCTGTATATGCTGGGATTTGGGAACAGAGAGAAGTAGGTTCTACTCTGGGAATCTTGCTACCATTAAATGGAAGAGTTGTGGTATCTGAGGTAAAGATAGAGGCAGCAAAGTCTTTCTTGCATACTTCTGGGTAAATGAAGTAAAGATCTGCTGGTCTGTCCTCTTTTACTGCAGCATATACAAATGCAATGAAATAGCAGCCCTCAAACAGCATAGGTCTAGAAGGATGTGAGAGGTGCAACAGTACGTTTTACAATAAACAACTATCTGTTGAATATAAAAACAGTAAGAGAGAACATGTAGTCTGCTTCTTGAAGGGGAAGGAGCCATACTCCGAAATGCCCCTCAGGATGACCTGGAGCATTCGTTTAATAGACATGGTTATTATGCCATATGACAGTAATTTTGTCTAAGAATGATCCTAGAGATCTTGCTGCTTTTTCTGTATCTGGATTTTCCAATCTTAAGAAAAGTATTCAATGTGTAGCTGATTTGGAGCTGGTAGTGGTCATATATTGATTTTTAAATTGAAACATTTTCTTCTAAGAAATTTTGCATCTGAAAAGATGAAAGACAGTATTTTAAAATGACCTTAAACTTGCTTGTATAATTGTCCCTTCAGGTTACCAGGATCTTTCCTTCAGTTCCTGAACTGTCACTTGTTTTGGATGGGAGTTTCACAGAATCAGGACAGTCATCTAAGCCTATGGGGACTTCAAATGCTAAAAGTCAACCCACAGCACTACATCAGCCTATTAAAAAGAAATGGTGCTTGGAATCTGCATATTACCCCACCCAGCACTCTGAAGACAAGCAAAACTTTTCTGCTAATATGGGAGATCCCTCTTTAAGGCAACTACCAAACCATTTAAATCAGAAAATTCCAATCTCAAGGCCTTCCAGAGGAAAGCAAGCTCCTCTACAGCAACCCTTTCACCCTAAGAAAGCTTGCCCTCCATCAAGAAAAAGTTCAGGATCATCTTCTCCTTCAACCCCTTGTAGTGGGCCTTCCCCAGATACATCTGCACATCACCCCAGAAAGCCATCAGAGAGGCTTGTGTTAAATCCCAACGGAGTATCCCAGCAGGGAGAGCCTCCAATTAGAACATCAATATCCAATTCTAAGCAGCTTCCTGCTGCTACGCAGCCAGTCCTCTGCAACTCTGTGTTTTCACCACAGATCTGCAGAAGACCACCAGACCTGCAGGTGTCAGCTCAAGTGCCACCTTGCTGTCCAGCTGGTGCATGTGCCTGTCAATGTCCTGCTTCCCTTCAGTATCACCCGATAAACTCATGGCAAGGAATTGGTAAAATGAGCCCCCAACATGGAGCAGAAATCCAATCCGAGATGGCTCAGCAGAATCCGTGTACAGTGCTGCATCAAAACATCATTTGTCCAAATGTTTGCTGCAATCCAGGATATACCACAAGCAGCCCTATAAGCATGAGATGTCATGGGAGAACGGGAAGCTGTTCTCTCGACAATAGCTTATCGCCTGGAATAAGACTGCCTTCAAGTGCAAGCCCCTCTAGTCCACAGTTTTGTGCAGCCCACTTACCGTGCCTGCACATGCCTGCTTCTAAAGCAGGATCAGATAATGGAATGATGGGATTATCTCCAGATGCATACCGAGTTCTTACAGAACAAGATAGACAACTCAAATTACTTCAAGCTCAGGTTTGTGGAAACAGCAGCTTTCTCCTCTGCCCTCTTAGTGATTATGCTTTGATAATTCCCCTGCCAAAGGAATTAAATTAACTGTTGTCTCTCCCTGTTGGAACAAGAGAACCTGTCATACCAGCTGCAGTTTGGGGATAGAAGGGGGTCTTGATTAGCTCTGCTAATTGGTGTGGTTAAATGAAAACTATTAGACTCTTGCCCGATTAAATTTTACATTTGTTTTTATCCTATTTCCATAAGAGAAAGGTTTCCCTTTTAACAGACTCTTTTATAATGCAAACTGATATGCCCTGTGTATAAATACTTTTCTGTATATATACTTTTATATATATATATATATATACACACATACACTTATCTATGTAAAAAAAAAAATCACTGCATACGTTATAGCCTTTGGAATTACTGCAAGGATACAGATGAAGCATAGGATGTTCTTGTGTGTTGCTTTGCTCACCTTCAAGCCTGTAACTTCCTGAGCAGTTGAGCCTATTGCTTTGAAAACTTCAGTTCTCTGTTTGCAGCAGACTGGCAGGATTCATCAGGTGTTTGTTGCTGCGCTGGAAAATTGGGTTTTGGGCTTCTTGCTCAATTCTAGTTTGATACCAGGTGAAGTTTCTTCTAAATACTGGTCTCTTGAGAGCTATGCTGCTGGCCCTGTACTTTACAGGGTCTGATTTGGGGCTGAAGAGCTAGAATTGAAATTGATGATGAATTGGTATGAATGATAGGAATAGGGAAGTTGCTTACAAAACATATTTTTCCTGCTTAAACTAGAAAATTACAACTGAAATAGGCTTTAGATATAACTGCTGTGTGTTAAATCAAGCTCTCAAATCATGGGTTATGAACAAGAGAGGGAAACCTCTCCTTATTGCATAAATACAGCCTTTACTGTTATATTTCTCCATGGAGCTGTGAACTAATCTGAGAACAGGGTGGATGCAAATACTTGAGTGAAGACTGCCTGGGCAAACTTAATTTTATCATTTAAGTGCTTATTTTTGTAATTAGTACAGAGTTGGTTTAGCATGATGTAGGGGCAGTTGGCATATAAATGCTTGGCTGTTAAGTAGGTAATAGGCTTTGTATATGAATGAAAGGACAGAGAATATTTCCGACAAATGCAGTGCAAATGGGTTTTACTCAAGTTGTCTTGGTGTAGTTCTGCCAGCTTGCTTAGAACCTCTTCTTTGCTAGGGCTGCCAGCATCAAAATTATGTTTTGATTTACGCTGCATGCACTGCTGAGAACTGGAAGGTTATCAGGCTTCTGTGGCAATGCAGCATGGATTTGAGTCCAGATCTTGGAGGAGCTCAATTTAGTAATTCATTTCTGCCTGTTATACTTTATATTTTGTTGTACAAATTGTAACATGCTGATAACTGTTACAGATCCAACGCTTACTGGAAGCTCAGGCTCATCAGGGTTGTTCCTCAGATCCAGCTGCAACTGGCCATGCTCTGCAGCCTGAGAAGCAAGGGGATGTTGTTTCTATGGAAACACCATCCTCATCCGGCCCACACATGAGGAGAAGTGTGAGCGTGGCTGTGAGCACAGGTAATGCTTTAGTCTGTAAAAATAGGCTAGTATCACTTTTTCTGGATGTTTGAGTTACATTTGGGTATAGAGAGAATGTTTTTCAGGAATGCTGAATGTACACAAGCATCCACCAGGTACAAGAACCAGTTCAGTTCTCTAGGTGTTATTTGCAAGTTTAGGCTGAAGTTATATTTTTTTGTCTGGGCTCTGCAATAGCAGTGATTACCATCACTGGAAGAAGTATTTTCCCAATAGCTCTAGTGTTCTACTTTAAATTTTGACATATTGAAAGAAAAAAATCCATGTCTTTTTGAATTAATAAATTGCTTTGGTAAGTAATAGCTTCTCTCCCATCTGGTGTTTTGTTAAATATATTATTGAAGTTTTTTGTAGGTCATTTACATGCACAGAGACTGTATTTGCTTTAATTTTAGCAAGTTATGCAGCTGTGTCTGTGAAGTTACATATTAATGTTTTGGTTCCTGTTAAATCCATGGAAATATTGTGGTTAGTCTGGAGAAAATTTTCAAACTGGCTGAAAGTCAATGCATTAACATGCTTTAATACAACTGTTTATTTTCATCAAGGATGCCTTGGAAGAAACTAGGACTTGAATGATGTTTTGGCAACTCTTAGCTGTTCTAAACCCTAAATCGCTTTTACACTGGTGAAAAATCCTGAATGTGAGGAAAATGATTCCTTTAGCTTTACAAGGGCAAAGGGTCTTAGAAGACGGTAATGAGTTTCCTTCAAATAGGTAATTTTCTTTTCTAGGTGCTAGCTTATTTTGGAATACAGCCTCAGAAAAACAAGACGACTCCACACCACAAGGGAAAAAAGAGGATGAAGAGATTTCTAAGGAAGACATAAGCATTTCAATTAATGCTGAACAAGATGCAAGTAACACAAGTATTGCTTCTTCCTTAAAGGTGGTTGACATGCCCAGCTTTGTAGACAGTATTCACCTTGTGGAAGAAGGAACTAATCAGAACACTCTCCAGTAAGTAACCTGAAATACCTTGTGTTCACATAATAAGCTGAACTGCCTTTCACAAGTCACTACTTTCATAAGTATTTTTTCCAGGAATTATACAGTCACCTGATTTTGGCTGTTGTGTTCTTTCCCTTCTTTGTTTTCTAATTATGCTCTGAATTGTAGAGCTCACCCAAATAACAGCTGCCTTTAGAGTATGCATTTATCAGTCATGCAGGTTTAGCTAGCCTACCTATCAGCAGCAGCTGATGGCAAAAGCCTTTAACTTGGAAAAGCATGTACAGTGCTGGCAGCATTCCCTTTCTTACCTTAAATCCCATGGAGTGGGGGGGAAGGGGATGCTGCTGTAGTCAGTTGTTTTCCTACAGTGGCTTTTCCCTGTCAGTATTCAGAACCCTTTCAGTTCTGAGGGGCTTAGGATGAGGGATTTATGATTACGCCCTGAATTTCTCTGTATTTTACACCTAATTACTTAGTGTGTGGTGAATGCAGGTGCCAACTTCACTACTGTTAATTTAATTATTTGTAAACTTAGATTCTTCATAGTGCAGTGCCTAATCTCAGACTAATTTGGGAAGTGATTTTAAACATATTTTTAATTATTTATATGGATGATATTTTTACAAAGGGAATAGCTCAACAATTAGGACTTCTCATCATCCAATAGTCTCTAAGTATGAAAAGCCAAAGGAGGGGAAATACCCTTCCAGTTTAAATTAGGTTTCTAAAATAATCATGTTGGAAAAGAGGCTGGTAATTAAGCTATAACTTGAATATTCATAGTCCTTGATTAAAGCATTATCTGCAAACATATACTGCTACCGTAAATGTTACTGATTCAAATCAGTCTTTTGAACATTGTACTAGAGAGAGATGCCATTGTAAGGTTCTCTTCAACTTGTATTCATAAACCTGTAAAATAGCTGTGGAAGTATCTTATAGTAAGAACATAGATCATCACCCAGATTTCTTTGAGGAGGAGGGGAACGGTTTTGGGAACGATGAATAATTGCTAGTGTAACAGTAACTGATAACCTACATTGACTATCTAGTACGTCACGTGATTTAAATCTTATCGCTTTCAACACAGGCAATTGATCAGTTGAGTTCTGAAATTCCCTTATCTTACACTTGTCTCCTGAGGAGAAACAGGAAGGGGGAGGAGGGCTGCTTAAAGATCTTCTTCAGGATGATAGTACTATTGATATGTCTGGTCTCAAATGGCTTTTGCAATGTACACACCAGCTATCTGAAGAGGATGTAGAGCATCACATTGTAACTCAGTCTACAATATTTATCCTTTTTATCTGGAAATTTCAGGTTAGATTATGGTTCCTCTTTCAAATCTGCTATGGAGAAATATTTCAACTAGGTGTCTGTTCTCAGTTCATGATACTCAGTGTGCACTGTGTATGTGGGTACTTGTAGCAGTGTCTTTGAGAAGTTTTTAAGGTGTTTTTAAACTGCCACAGTAATCTTGTTATCAGATACCTTGGTAAAAAAAAGGTTTCAGAATATGTGGAAGATACTTATTGCTAAAGGCTTTTAAGTGTCCATAAAAATGCTGAAACCATAAGACAAACTCTAGACTTGTTAATAACTTCAGTTTCATCTGCTCTAAGGTTTAGTTGTGGAGCAAAGCCTCAAGCAGCAGACAAACCAAGAAACGTTAGGATCTGTTTCCAGTACTCAGTTTTTCTCCTCTTCATGAAAAGATAAGGCACACGTAGTGCTTCTTCTGTTTCAGTGAAATAGTTCGACGTCTCTGTGTTCTCTTTCAGAAATGGAAATGTTTCCCAAGCACTTGTTCGGAGTTCATCCTTGGAAGGAAGTATTAGCGTGTGTTTAGAGAAAGAACCAACAGAGGGAGCCAGCAACCACGTGGTGGTAACAAGTGAGCAGAGCTCGGAGCCACCCGCCTCGTTGCTGCCTCGGAATCCATCAGAGGAGCAGAAGCTTTACCAGGACTTATTGGTAATTCATGTACATGTTGTGTAATTCATGTACATGTAGTGTAATTCATGATAGTGTGCACTGAGTGAAACAGTCGAAACAGCACATGAATGGAAATTGCATGTGGTGGTGGTGTTCACATTTTACATTTATGGAAATTTAACATTTATGGAAAAGTTCCAAGTTTGTGGTTGTTCTTTTTTTTAAGGTTTGAATGGTTATTCTGTACATCATTCTTCCATGCATACATGGAATACTGAGTAATAAGTCTGTAGTTCAAAGACAATGTCAGTTGTTAACTTCCCAAATTAGTGCCCTTTAAAAATAGCACAGCTTTTTATCTTCAAGTCCATTAAAGGGCTTTAATTTTAAATATCAGTACATGATATTCAGAATGAATATGTATTCAGAGCACACTGTTAGAGAAAGCTTGAAATGTAAGATATTGTAGTGTTTGCCTACACTGCTGTGAGTTTATGTGATTGCATCTGAACTGAACCTAAATTTGGCTTCTTTGTCAAAGTAAGGTGTTAGTCCATCTAATTATGTTTTAAGTGACACAAGAATACACCAGGATTTTGGGTTTTAACAGCTGCATGTCATGATGGTTTTGCCCATGTGGTTTCTCTCCTGCTCCCTTTTCCTGTAGGGCCAAGTAAACCACCTCCTGAAGTCCTCAGAAGAGCAAAATCACTTGCCTGTAAAATCTGGCTTCATTAATAATGATGGCCCTAAGTATCAGGATATTGATGCTACAACAGAAATGGCTTCAGAGACTGACAGGGAAGCGGTGGACAAAGAGAGTGTGATCAGTGCCACGCTGAAACAGCTGAAGAGTCTTGGAGTGACAATTGACTCGCCTGGCAAATTGAAGAAAAACACCCACAAAGTGGAGAATGCCAGGTAAAATACTGGTTGTTCTGAGCAGGAATTTGTGGATGCAACCAAAAATGAAGATTGGCTGAAGGAGTAACAAGAAGGGGCTGTGTTTACTGCCACTGGGGATTTGTTTGGCAACTTGATCCACATTTCCTGCAAAGATGAAACACTGGCTCATGCTATGGGTATTTTGGATAAGGTTAAGAGCTCTGCTTGCAAAACTCAGATTATTTAAATATAACACAAGTAGCTGTAGCTGTTAGAGTATCTGATGATTCTTAAAGTATTGCACATGCAGTAGCACACAGTTCCCTAGAATAATACCAAAGCTGCTTGAGAAATTTCAGTCCTTCAGGCTATGTCAAAATATTCCAGAGGAACACTGGACCTGGGAGGCTGAACGTTAAGCAGCTGTATATTTTGTCACTGCTACTTAACCTTTGTCTTGTACTTCACCAGTATAAGTGAAATCATTATCATGGCTTTGAAGTATATATCAAAACTGGTTCTATCCTAATTGTTTGTTATTACAAGTGAGATAGCCTTGATGAAATAGAAGACGGAGCAGAAGTAATTTCTGAAGGGCATGTTTGAGACGCAGGAATTTACTTATGTAGCTGCTTAGGCATGGGCTGGCTACAGTTTCTAAGCTCTTTTATCTCCTTTTCACTTGAATGTCATCAGTTATTTTTCTGGAATTTCTGGGCTACCTTCCTGGCTGGAGAGTCTGTCAGTGTTCTTTTAATGTCAATAGGATGCTAATAAGTGAACCTATAAGAACTGGAATTCTTGGGATTTTCTCTTCCAGGCTGGGTAGCGGGGTGGGATTCTTCCTTCTGCCATTCACATGACTGATAAGCACTTCTGAGAAAAGTTCTACAGCTCAGCAGAGAAGGAAGCAACAGTGAACTCCATAGCATAAGGAGTGGTTGTTCATCTGATCCCGTTTATTCTCCCAAAGCAAACTTCGTGATCTGTGCTCAGTGAAATAGGAACTCTTAACAGTCAACATGAGGAGTTTGTGTTTATGAAGTAGTATGAGACGCATGCACTAAATGCACTGGTTTATAACCACTACTAGTGTACCAGAGCTTATTCTTTCAGTCTTTACACCAGTTTCTTGTATACCTTATGTGTTAACAAGCACAGAATGAATGAACATATCTTTACTGAAGAATGCCTTCAAAGCCTAGAACCTTGCAGTTTTCTGGAAATAGATAGTATGTCAGTTCCCATAAAAATCCTTGAATTGGCATGAATTGGGAAAGAGGAAGTGTTCTTGGTCTCTGCCATTGGGTTTGTATCTTCTATCTGTAGATTTTAAGTTAGATGGCATCTTCTAGAGTCTGAGGATCAGAGACGTATAACATCATGTTCACTCGTGAGAATAGGCCAAGAGCTTACAAACCCACTTTAAAAACAAAGTCAGTTCTGAAACCCACTAGAGCTAGGTTCTTCCTCATGAGAGGATTGTGCTTAGTATTGGAAGGGAATATCAGCAGTATTAGAAGGGAATATCAGCAATTCTCTAACATGGTGTTTGGATACTGCCAGTGCAAGTAGCTGGAGAGCTGCTGTTTAGTATATGCAGAACATGTGATCTGGACACTGAGTAATCAAGCTGTGGTGATCAGAAGGAAGGGAGTAATTGATTCAGCAAGCAAATAGAAATTATCAGATGATATTGTGAAATGCAGGTTTTTCCTGTTATGCTAAACTAATTTTGTGATGTTTTCTTTCAGCATTTTAGCCTGCATAAATCCTGAAGCAGTGGTTCCTGGACTAAACTATATGTCGTTTGCCAATGTCAGCATGTGTGGCTTAACTCCTAATGTTGTTGACCTGAGCATGGAAGCAAATGCTATAGCACTCAAGTATCTCAGTGAGAATCAGTTATCTCGACTATCCCTCAGTCGCTCAGGCCAAAACCCTCCTGTAGATCTCTCTTTCCAGGACATCTTGCATACAAATATGGACAAGAGCATGGTGGGTCTTAGCTTAATTTCACCAAACAATATGTCTTTTGCAACCAAGAAGTACATGAAGCGATATGGGCTGATACAGGGCAACGACAGCAGTGAAGACGAAGAGGAACTGCAGGTTCGAGATGGCAATTCTGGCACTGTCAAAAGTGAAAGCACACTGGACAAAAACTGTGTGTTGGAAGGTTTCACACACCAGACTGAATTACCCAGAAGAATTGATGGAAAGCTTCCAGTTCATCTAAAAAGTCACAGCAGAGAGCTGAGTGCCAGTGCTTCTCCAGCATTAAACAGCCCTGTATTAAAAAATATTACAAATGAAATGTTTCCTCCTAGAACAGATCAAGCAGATGAGAACTCAGTTCAGATTTTAAAGGATTTAAAATCAAAACCTAAATTGTTACCTGGGAGGGTTGAATTCACTGAACAACCTGGCAGGAAGGAAGAAGGAGATGCTCAGGTCTTCCCCGGAAATCTGCATAGTCCACTCCTTGAAACATTAAACCAGTCAAACAGCATGAATTCTGTTGGCACCATTCTTGATGTGAAACAACTCAGGCAATTGCCCAAGTTGTTCTGAACGTCCCCCGAGGTGGTTTCAACTCTGGATTTCTCCCTAAAAGACTGCAGGAAACCGAGGATTAAGTTATCTTTGAAGAGGTCACTCTGTGGTAGCAGTATCAGACTTGCAGAACAGTGTTTTCAGCCCAGGCTGGGGACAGTCACCTCTGAGTGCCTGGCTGAGGAGGTGCTGATCAGCACTGCAGTATGTGTGCACTTTTGTTTACAGTTTGGTGTGATTTTTAAGGTATCTAAAAGGCAAATCAACCTGAGCCCAAGATATTCTCTTAACCTGCTTTTAACAATGCTTATTTAAATGTTCTTCCGTTGACTCTTTTAAAACACTGACTTTTACACGTTTGTGCCACGTGAGCCATCGCCATTGTGCGAGGCAGAGCAGGGCTACCTGAGCTAAAGCACTAACTTCTAGGAATGAGCTGAAATGGTTGGATTACTGGGGGGGAGGGGGGAAGAGGTTAACTGTGGCTTTACTTTGCAGAAAATTACCTTGAATGCGGCCAACATGGCACATGTAACTCCCTGTATCATGAAACCTTGGAAGGGAATTGGAAAACAGAGCACTTTTAAAACCTTTCTGTGATTTGTTTTTGTTTTTTTTCTTGAATGAATGTGTGTTTTCTATTTATTTAAGAAGTACATATTGCTCATAAAAGTCAAAGGTTCCATTAAACAGAACAAAAAAATCATCACTTGTCTGATGTAGCCTTTATTTAAGACATGCGTCTTCCCAGCCGTTGTTTAGAACAACTAACTGCAAGTGTGAGGATGCCTCTTGCTACTCAACCCTTCAAGAGTCCCAATATCTGGGGCTGGGGTAAGCAAAAACTAACAGGTTTACGTTGTTCTGTATGAACATAGTAGAAGCTCATTGAGTGTGGCAGTCTATTGACAAAACAGCCCTTTTCCATCAGCTGGTGGGGTATTATCATCACAGGCTTAAGAAGAATTCAGTTATTTAATGATGTGATTTCTGTTAAGATGTGGACTTTTGTTCAGTGCATAGCTGTAGTAGATGTCTTGATGCTGTGTTTGTATTGTTGGGTGTACAGTAATGTGCCAGTGCTACCTGGACATGGCTGAGTGAGTGTAGCATCCTCCATCCTGACCTCCTGGGCTTGGAAAGGAGGCAGCAGCACTGGAAGTGCCAATTCATTCCCGTTCCCACCATTCCTGACAGGAGGACAGTGTAGAATGCCGGTGGAGCTCTGTTTTCTCACTGGCTTGTAGCTCATTGGCACACTTTAATGGGAGTTTGTTCAACCTTTGATGGCATTGTTTCAACAGGAGTTCAGCCTGCGGTGCTGACCTTGTCTTTCCTGCTCTAGCAGTGTTAAACTAGAGATGAAAACACCATGAGGTAAACTCCTGATCAAATCCAACAGACTCCACTGATCACTCACGGTGTGTTGGAGCGGGCACTAATTGCTAATTAATTTATTACAATGACATGAGAGTCTTTTCCAGCATCCACCACCCTTGTGGGCCTTTGTAGCTTAAGAATCGGGGGTGAGATAAGCCCTTGGCTATGTCAGAGCCAGTACAGAAAGAGGAAGGCAGCAGCTCCCTTCGAGCCATGTCAGAGTTTCTCCTCTCACGCAGCCTCTTCTATCCACAAGCGTATTTGTTTCCTTTCAGGAAAGGCGCTGCTTTGCTGTGCTGCAAAATAAAACCTCCCCCAGTCCCTGACTGTTCCCTGGATCAGGCACAGGCTCATTATCTGGCAGCCCCTTTTCTGCTGAATCAGTCAAAAAACAGTTAATGTTTTTGAACATTCCAGTGAGATGAATGAGGCAATTGGTACCTCTGAGCTATTGTTGTAGGGTTTTGTTCTTTGTTTCCTATTGTAAAACGTCTGGAAACACAGGAAGATGACAGTTGCATTGGTTCATATTTTAAAGACTTTCTTCAAATGCTCGAGGGCTAGAAGCACTTTGGGAACAAAAGCCAAACCACTTGCACGAGGGTGTGGTGTTAAACTGGGTTACACAAATCACACAGCCCTGGACAGCAACCTCTGAGCCAGCACAACCTTCGTCTGCTTGACTACAGCAACAACACAGACCACCCTTCCTTGCTGCGGCCTTTTCCTTTCACAGGGTAGCAGTGAGTGACTGTAAGATGCTTGGATTCTTTTTCTCTGAAGCATCCACGGTAGTTTGAAGTCAAAATTAGGTGGGAAACCAGGTCTGGCTTTGTTAATCTGAGCACCAGTGACCAAACCCAAGCACTGGTTCCATCACTTGCTCAAGCACTGATGTGGGTGGAGGCCAGCACAGTTTAAGGTGTTATTGTTGGGTTTTCTCCTTCTGTTGTTTCTACCTTTTATTATAATTAAAGGAAGCTATTTGTAGCGCTTGCTCAAAAGGTCTTGGGCCTGCTCAGAGCATCACTGCTTTATTCTGTTTGATTTTGGGGCTCGCTACCTCATGTGGGTTAGGAGGCAAGCCCAGAATCATTCATTCACCATGACCAGTGGTCGGAGAATCTCCCAGTTACCACCACACCAGTGTCCCCATTAGGGTCAGGGGGTGCTGCTCAGCAAGGGGCAGCCAAGCAGGCAAATGGGGGTCATCCACGACCACAGCTCCCACCCGGCATGGGCAGGCGCGGGTGGGAACGGCCCGGCGGCTGCTCTTGGTGCACAGAAGATGCTCGGCTTCCTCATCCCCCCCGCCCAGCCCCGGCCGTTCTATCTTTAACGCTTCCTGTTGGTAAGAGGAGCCGGCTTGAAAATGGTCGTGTTTCCTGGCGGGAGGCACGACAGGCTCTGCACCGTGTCTTGAGTCGTGACCGTCGCTGCCCCGCCGCCCCACGCGTGCTGCCGGCATCGTGCGGGCTCCTGCTCGCCGGGCCCCGACCCCAGCCGGGACCGGGATGGAGGGGATCATTGGAAACCTCTCCCACGGCCGCGTCCAGAGCGGGAGGTCGAGGGGAAGGAGTGAAAGGAAGAATAACAGCTCCGGCATTTCCCCCTGCGGGAGGGCGTGCAGGTGGCGGGGACACAATAGCGGCCCCGCGCCCCCCTGGGCCCGCACGGCAGGTGCGGCCGGTCCTCACCGCCCCACCGCCGGACGGGGCCGCCGCTTCTCCCCCTCAGCCCGGAGCCGCAGTCTCGTCCCAGTCCGTCCGCAGGGACCGGGGGGCGGCCCTGGAGGGGCTCAGCCCTGGCCCGCTCCTCCCTGCCCTGCTCCGGCAGAGATTTCGTTGATTTTGGGCTGCCCGGCCAGGCCGATGCCCTGAGCTACGGAAACTGCTCGAGCCGTTGGCTGTGGGAGCGCTTTACCTGTGGGGGTCCGGGGGAACAGACCCAGAACCCTCCATCGGCCTCCACCTCTCCCCAGTGCTCATACAGGGAGCCTCTTGCAACTTGGGAAGGGTTTCAGACGCTTCCCTTAGCCACGTCGGGCACTCCGCACCCGCCGCCCCGTCCCGCAGCTCCCATACACTGCCGCGATGGCGAGGGCCGGGGTATCCCTGTCCCCGGTCCCGTCCCTATCCCCTTTGTCCCGGATCCCGTCACTCTTGGGCCGAGACCCAGCCCCGACGGGGCGCGCAGCCGGTCCCAGCCCCCGAGCCCCGCTTGCTGCCCCGCACCACGTCGGGGGGGCACGGGCTCTTTCTCCCCTTCCCCAGAGCCCTCTCCTCCAGGAGCCAAGCTCTCACCCCAAATTCCCCGAGGGCGAGGGGTACCAATACCCATTCCCTATCCCCCAGCCCTGCAGGGATGCTCGGCCTCCCAGGCTGAGACAAGGAGCTCACCCCAATTTACGCGTTCATCGAAAACACCCATTGTGGGGGGGAGGAAAGCTGGGAACGGGGCCACTTCCCTCCAAAACATCTCCTCTGCATGTGCTTTATTTACCTCCTCATGTCCCAAAGCAGCCCACACCCCTTCCCTCTCTCTCAGCATCTCCAACAATTTATTTTGGCTCATTAAATTTAATTAAGAACGGAGTAGGTTTTCCATATTTAATAATAAAAAAAAAAAAGGAAAAAAAAGGAAAAAAATAAAAACAGGGGCATAATAACCTCCAAGAGGACTGAAATAAAGAATTGCCATTCAGATGCGGGCAGGCACAGTGCAATTTTTTATTACTCGCTTTTTTTTTTCCTCGCAGTGTCTTTTTAAGAGCATCTAAGCACACACACATAAAAAGCTAGAAGGCATGCATTCCGGAGTTATTCCTATGCATATCCCTGCAATAATTTTCCGCTTTCCTTCGATAAAATTGCCAAATAATAATGAATCATTTCATAAATAATGGGTTTAGAAGCTTATCAGGGCAGGCGGGCCACTGCTGGGGTTTTATCTCTCTCGGCCACATTGCAGTAGTGTTCCGCTCTCCATACTAAATAGGAAACTGGACGTGATGTGGAATTAGAGCCTACCCAGCTGAAGCCACCCAACACTTACTACAAATATAGCCGCGATGCGTAGGCCACAAAATGGCTCCACTCACTTTTCCCAATGAAAAGCAAATGGTGAGTAGAGAGGAATCCGGCCCTGCAGCGAGTGGAGGGGCAAGGGGAGGGTTTGGGGGGGTTCGGGGTGCAATGAGGGGTGTTCGGGGGGGCTTCTGCCCCGGGTAAGAGACAGGCGATAGGGGGAAAAAAACCCAAATCTTTTCCGCGGTTGGCTTTTAGGTTTTAACCTTTTTTTCTTCTTCTTTGATGCGGGTGGGTGAGGAAAAGAACACCATTTCCCCTTGGAAACTGTGGGGTGCGCCCCCCAACCAAATCCTCCGGGACCCCCCGCCATGGAGGAGCCGGGGGCAAGCGCCCACCAGGCCCGGCTTACCCAACCTCTCCATGGGGGGAATGGGTTACCCTGCCCTAGCCCGGCCGGTGGCCAGGGGCTGATGGCTTCTTCCCGAGGGGGGTCCCCCATATTTCCCTCCCTGCAGCCCCTCCGCTCGGGGGCAATTTCCCTACAAAGGGCCGGTGGGAGAGGTGCGCTTCGGGGCTGGAAATTTCCTGCCTATCCGCTGCTGGAAAACAAAAGGATTTTGCATAGCGGGGACTTAATGCCTTCCCCCCCATTTTTCTAAACGAAGTCACCCCAAATATCGGCAAAACGCCGCGGGTGTCGTTGCGGGTTTGTGTATTTCGTTGTTAACGAAAACGGCAGGAGACGCCATCGGGATTAATTCGTGTTTTAAGAAGGGAAAACCCGTATTTTCCATGATTTCGTTGGCGGGGGGGGGGAACCGACCTCGCCTTCCTGTTGATCAGCGGCGGGAGCTGGCTCACCCCGCCGGCGGCCCGGCCCCGGTCGTCGCTGCCCGTCGGCCGGGACCGCAGCCGGTACCCGGCCCCTTTAGGGATTCAGTTTGCCCCTGTAGGAATTGGATTTTCCAGGCGGGCGTAGGGAAACGCCGACGCCGTTTCTCCCTTCCGAGCCCAACGGGAGAAAAACAACCCCGTCTCCGGCCCCGTCTGGGATTTCCTCCCGGGGAGACCGGCCTTGCAATGTGTCCAAAACGCGCCCAATTCGCCTCAAAATAGAGGCTTTATTTTTACCTAATTCTTTTTCCTTTTTAATATATTTACTTTCTCCGCGCCAGGCCGTGGCCGCCGCGCGTTGTGGCCCCCATAGGTGAGGCGGTGGCAGTAGGGGTGGGACCCGGTGGTGGCCGCTGTCCCCCCCCCCATAACAGAGGCCACCCGGGGTGTCGTCCCCTCCTTCCCTCTCCCCTGCACCCCTCTCTCCCATTGATCTCAGGCAATCCGGGCCCATGAGATCCACCCTCTCCTCTTTTTCTCCCCCTCCTTCTCTTCCTCCCAGGATTTAGCAGTTTTATCCCGGTGCGGGTGTCCTTCCTCCCTGTAAAGTCGTAAGTACCTTGAGGTGGGAGGAGTAAATTCAGCCTGACACCGAGAGCGCTTTTGTTGAAACAGGAGAGACTTGCGGTGTCCCTACTTAAATATGACACATGTGAGTAATCTCTTCCTATACAATATCGGAATAGGCAATTAGATTTTTCTTTCTCGAGGGCTGGAGGGGAGGGGGCTGGAAGGCAGGCACAAAGCTTGTGTTCCTTTAGGTTGGGCGGTGGGGGGGGGGGGGGGGGTATTTTTTCCCAGAGAGATGGTGAGATATGGCCAAAAAAAGGGTTTTCTCTCGCAATTCAGCCCAGCAGAAACGAGTCAAAAAAATGCCCAAGGCAAAGGAGCGAGAAGGATGGGGAGGAGATCTGCTGTGTGGCAGCTCCCTGCTCCGCCAAGATCCCTATTTATAAGGGGGGAAAGGAATAATAATTACAAAATAGAACGAAAGAGGGTGTGGAATAAACAGCACGGCAATAATCGCGCTACCGCTGCCTGCCCGCGGCGCGAGGTGCCCTGTCGCGACAGTATTCGTTCTATAGGCGAAAGGGGACGATGATGGTGCGCGGCCGGAGGGTTGCTCCGCGCCGGGCCCCTTCCTCCTTCCTGCGGTAGCGAATGCGCCGGGGGGATTGACTCCGCCACGGGCCGCTTTAACCCCCTCTCCCCCAGAAAGCGGCTCCAGGTGTCTTTCGCTGGTTTAAATATAACAGCGACAATAAATAAAACAGGAGGAGAGGCGGTCCCTCATGAGGCCGCAGCCGGCAGGCCGGGCTGCCGTAGGGCGAACTCCGTTGAGCGCGGAATGCCGCCGGGTCCCCAAAATGGGGAGAAACCCCCCAATCCGGGGGACTGAGCCTACTGGTTTGCCCATAGAGCTCAATGCCGGGGTCCTGGCTGAGCCCTTCTCGCTGCATTACATCACGCACCCCGGTGGTGTCATCCCTCCGCGTGTAGCAGCGTAAACCGCCGCGGATGCAGAGCGGGGTGTATGTGTGTATTGAGGGTGTCCGGCCCGGCAGCCCCCCTGTGCGGGACCGGAGCGCTGTGCGACGTCACGGGGCCGCACCGTCCCGCGAGGCTCCGTGACGTCACGGCAGGGCCGGGGCGCCTCGTGACGTCACGGCACCGCACGGCTCGGCAGCGTGGCCCCTCGGCCCCTCTCGCAGCGGTGACGGTGCCCGTCCCCCCGCAAACTCCAACTGATTTGGGGTGATCAAGAGCGTGCCCCACCACCTTCACCCCCATTTCTCGCCGTCGGGGCGGTGTCCGGGGCGGGTACATCACCCTTCCCTTCTTCCCATAGCCGGGGCCGCCCCTCACCGCTGCCTCTCTCCGCAGGACGATGGACAGGCCTCCCGCCCCGCCGCCCCCCAGTGACCCCCGCGATGCCCGCCCCCCCCGGCGGCACGACTCGGAAGCGGAGAACACGAGCGAGCCGGAGAGCAGCCGCGGGGGCATGGAGGCGCCGGCGGACCCCCAGCTGCTGCTCAACGGGGCGGCCAAGGAGGCGGGCCGGCCCTCCCCCGGGCCCCCCGCCGCCCCTGTGCCCGTCATCGAGCTGGTGCGACGGGGGGGCTCCCTGGACATAAAAAGCCGGGAGGCGGCGGGAGAGGCGATGCAGAGAGCGCCGGGTGCTGAGCCGTGCCGCGCCGCCGAGGCTGCCTGCGAGGCCCGCATGGTGCAGCTGAGCCCTCCCGCACTCCCGCTGCAGCCCCCCGGCAGGGCCATGCTCTACAACCTGGGCCAGCCGCTGGCCACCATCAACAGGTCCGTGTCTACCCCATCCCACCCACTTCACTTTTGACGGGGGACCCTCGGAGCGGCTCTCCGAGGGGTCCACGGGGCTTGAAGACAGGGAGGAAGGGAGGGAGGCAACGGAGAGAGGGAAGCAGCAGCAGCAGCATCCCTTCCTCCGTGAGGGGCTCGGCGCTTAGTCATCGCGGGTTTGCATGCAACTTTGCAAAGGAAGAGAGGGGGGGAAAATAACCCGAAACGAAAAACTGTTGCTGCTGGGGGAAAAAAAAAAAAGGAAAAAAAAACCCCAAACAACAAAATCCCAAAAAAATCAGGGTAGAAGCGCTCTGGGCAGAACAGAGGGGTCAGTCAGTAAAGGTGGCACTTGTCAAGAGCGGGTTTAGATCATCGGAGCTACCCGGGATCGCTTCATCCTTCGCTGAGTCCCGCAAACAAGCCCGAAGGATGGAAAACGCTCTCGCCGGAGCCCGCTGCCACCCGCGGGTGCGATGTGTGAATGTGCCCGACGGCTGCGGGGCAGAGGGCAGCGGGAGGGGGTGGGTTTTGCCCCGGAGGCGGTGCGTGTCGTGTCGCCGCACGACTCCCCGCTCGAGTCGTGAGTCGTGAACTCCCCGGAGGTCACGGAGCAGCTCGACCCGTGCCGGGGGTGCCGGTGTTTCCTCACGGTCCTTCTGCCCTTCTTTTGCAGCGGGTTTTTCGGCGAGCCCGACACCTTCTCGATGTACGGCAGCAACCGGGTGAAGAGAAGACCGTCACCCTACGAGATGGAGATCACGGACGGTGAGAGCATTTCGCCCCAGTGCTCGCTCTCGGGGGGTGTGTGGGGTGTGTGTGTCCTGTCTGCTGAAGGGGGCAAGCTGCTGAAAACCCTAAATCGTAAAAGGGGAATAAGGGCAGCTGCCCCCGGTGCAGCAGAACCAGGATCTGTCCCCCCCTTCTGTCCAGCAGCACGCTCGGTGGATTCGCTTTCACGCAGCAAAGTGTTTAATATATGGTAGTTAAATCCCTGTCCTGCACATTGCTTAGAGAGTAAATCGGAAGGAAGGCACTAAATTTAAGTCTTTCTGGAAGTGTGGAGGCTGGACCAGGGCCATGCTGTGTTTGTAAACCGTTTCAGCCAGGAGACGTTTGTAACGCAGAACACAGCCCTAGGCAGAAAGATACAACCTGCCTTTAAAGTGCCTAGAAGCAGAGATAAACCCGTGCTAGTCTGCGGGGTCGCAATGGGATTGTTGCCCGTCCCTTTACACCTTCTCTGCACTGTGATTCTGCGATACATCCGCACGCTGCTGTGGTCTGCCCTAGAGAAAACCCAATGCTTGGTCTTGTGGCAGAGCCTGGGAGCAGATGTGGAGGGTAACAGGCTGGTGCCCGAGCAGAGATCCCGGGTGCGGGGATCCCTGTCGGACTGGCAGGATAATTTCAAAGGGAGGGAGGGAGAAGGCAGGGCAGGATCCCGCTTTCCGCTCCGGTTTGCACGTGGAAGGCTGACACGTTCATCTATGCAAAGTCAACAGCCCGTACAAACGAGATCCATCGAAACTGCGTTTTCTCTTTAGCAATTGTAAACGCTGTATTTCAGTTGCTGGACAAATAATTTTCCTTCTTTCTAGCTAGTCGTCCCTTTCCTTCCACCCGGCTGATCTAAAATCAGATCAAATCATAATCCGCATCACTCTAAAATAACACAGTCCGAAATGATGGGCTCAGGACATTATCTGCCTTCATCAGACCCTCTCTCCCCGCTCCCTGCTCTCCTCCATCCCCTTGGTGCTTTCATCTCGCAGCCCCGTGGGGCCGGCTTGCCTTAGCCCCCGGCACACGAAGGTCTTTTTGTCTGGGTTTCCATTCAGAGGCTTAGCGGTTACGGTGAAAAGTCCGTCAAATCACGGTGTCTCACTAAACCTTTTGAGTTGCTGTTGAATTAGATATGAAGGGTATTTGGCTGTAACCAAGTTTTTGGATATGAGCTTTAATGCAGGTGTATAGATCAACCCCAGTCCTGCACGTTCTGGTTCGTGTGAATTTCCAAGACTCTGCTCTGATTCTTTTCTGGGGAAAAATTGGTATCATCAGAGAGATGATGCTGCCTGAACAGGAGCGATTTGTAGGGATGTGCATCCCGTGCTGAGGAATCCGTGTGGTCTGCAGGGCTTTGCTCATCGCTCTGATGGTCACCTGCCAACTGACATCTGCGGCACACTCAGCATCGCCCCTGCCTGTCCTCAGCCCCCAGGACCTGCAGAGGGGCAGGAGAGTCTTCAGAGGCACTTGCTGTTCGGTTTCCTCTGTGAGGAAACAAATGGTGGTTTTATTGCAACTATTCATTTATCTTTTTCAGGGAAAGTTCGATGCATTGAATATCTTCTTTAAAAATAGATGTAAATGGAGATGAAAATGTTTAGAAGTATGTGCAAGGATATTCCCGAACTTTGGAAGTTCATCTTTTTATTAGTATTCATCAGATCTCTGATTACGATTAAAAAAGCATCACTCAGTCAATTGGAACAAAATCCAGGCAAAAATTCTCAGCTGACTGCTTGAATTAATTATGAATCAAGTTTCTTTATGAGAAATGAGTCTCTTCTGTTATAACACAGCTATGGGGCATTCTACATTTCTCCATTGCCTGATGTGTTTTGGCCAGAACCCGATCTCTTTCTAAAAGACAGGTTTAATTCAGTTGTTGCAGGAATCAAGAATATGAGTGGTGTCAGCATTATGCTGGTGCTTGGTCTGGGTGCTCCTGGATGGAAACGAACAGGTCTTTTTCTTTGATTTCTGGTGTATTTATGAATAGATGCCTCTTAGTCAGCAGCTTTCAGTGAATAGATGCATGTCTGGAGACCGTGAAGACTGGAAATACCTTGGGATTTATTTTTTAAATAAACAGTATACATTTTCTTTTTTCCTTCATCCTCTGAAAAGGTTTTAAACTGCATTTCCTTCTGGATTCAAGGCCGGTTGCTTTGTCTTGTCTGGAAAGAGCACTGAAGTGCCGGATTACTGTAGTAGGTCGTGGCATATTCTCCACTGCCATTCTAGCAGTGCATGGTGTTGAAGTCCTCTTGGTCCCCACCTTCACCACGACCCTGTGGCACAGTGGTTTGTGCACATCATGGACAAGAAACCTTCCCTTTCCATGAGCTTTTGCACATTAATTCATACAAAGTGCATTTACATGCTGTTTGGGAGTGGAAAATTGCCTTTGTTAAAGCATCAGACTGGGATCTTGGAGAAGATGAGTTTCTTACATCCTCCAGCTTATCCCAGGGGCTCTTTGTGATTTTGGGGGACTCCCTGCTCCTGAGCATGCTGCAAGAAGTCAGTTATACGGCTGCTTACACCCTGGAGAAGCCAGTAGCTTTAATCTGGCTTTTTAGGAGTGTATCCCCACGCAAAACCTGGGTGTGTGTGTGTACATTGTGCTGGCCCAAAGGGGCTCAAGTTTCCCCTGCATGGAGGAAAGTGTGATGGTGTTTAACCAGCTGTAATGTGGATCCCTCTTCTCGCACTGTGCCTGGTAGGATCTGTCAAGGTGCAGCCTGACTAGGATGCCTCTGAAATCCCATCTGTTCAGCTGCTCTGCCACAGTCAAGGATGTAAGAATATCGATGTTAAATGCCTCCCCCCCGATGCTGTTTTCACTGGGTGATGGCAGAGCTATGGCTTAAGCTGCTCACCATGGCCAGGGACTTCCACCCACCAGGACAGAGTAGGTGGCAAGTGTATCCGAGTGGGGGCTACAGGGGAGAGATGGTGTGGATGGGGGTACTCTCAGCCTGCCCTTTGGCATATGACTCGTCAATGTGTCATTTCCAAGTCTGCTTCATACTTTATGATTTTCATTGCTTCATACTTTACGATTTTCATTGTATGTGATGCTTCTCATGCTATGCGGCTTTCTGCTATGGTTATTCTCCCAGCCTTTAATGAAATTGATGTGTCCTTCCACTGTTGGTATCTCCTGGAGATGAGGATGGAATGGGTGTAATAGTAAAAGCATCTTCCAGTAGTGTCTGCTTACAGGAGCTGGTTTCCATGGACCCAAGGTACTCCTGTAGCACAGTACTTTTGGGCAGAGACGTTTTTGGGTCTCTTCTAATACAGAGACAATGTCTTGCTTGTGCCAACAGGAGCTACCCTGGTGATCTGGAAGGAGAACTGGTGTATTTTGTACTTCCATGCTGTGTAACATGCACTGTCAGAAATACGGATGTAAAATTACAGGGGTTTAACTGCAATTCACATGTAACAGTCAAATGGATACACCTCCATCAGCTTAGAGTCCTTTCTCTAATTAGTGTCAGATAAGGGTCTTTGCCCTGCAGCACTTATGTGCAGAGAGAGCAGGTGGTCTTCAGCTCAACTGTGTAACTGCTTCATTCTCCACTCATGACCACCCTTCCAGCAAGGACACTGCTTTCATGCTGTGTGTCACCTTGCTGCCTATTCTTATTGCCACAGGGTGAATCTGGCCACCCTGTTTCATACAAACCACCCAGAGGGCCGGTGGCAATCCTGTGGTCCCTGTTAGCTCTGGATCCTGTCTATATTAGGGAAGATCTCTGGATCTTAGAGTTGCCAAAGCCTCTGGTCAAGCTAACTTCTTCCTGTCCCAATGGTATATCCTTAAGACACTTCTGGGATACAAAATAAAACCGTCTAGTGAGATAAACTTTAAATAGGATCTTTGTTGCTGAGATACCCTTGCTGATGAGCTTAGATACCCTAAAAATACAGCAGCCTTCTGCACATGTGTCATGGACAAAGCCTTCCTTCTTGGAGAGGTAAATTTAGGCATCTCAAGGGGCATCTAAAAAGGCACAACTCCATTTTTCCCTTCCAGTGGATTGAACAGAAATTACGGGTACCTCAGCTCATCAGGTTAGCTGGAAACCCCTGTTTCACTGCTTTACTGATGTGACTAAAATAAATTGGTTAATTTGGGTTAATTTAGCAAAGTAGTGAATGATTTTTTTTGCCCTGCTTCTAATTCTTCATGGTTGCAATTGCAGGTCCTCATACGAAAGTGGTTCGTCGCATTTTTACCAACAGCCGGGAGAGGTGGAGACAGCAGAACGTCAACGGGGCCTTCGCAGAGCTTCGCAAGCTCATCCCTACCCACCCGCCCGACAAAAAACTGAGCAAGAACGAGATCTTACGCCTGGCTATGAAATACATCAACTTCCTGGCCAAGCTGCTCAACGACCAGGAGGAAGAAGGAAACCAAAGGGGCAAAGTGAACAAAGACTCTGGGATAGTCCAGGAAGACCTCCTGCAGGACATGTTGTCTCCTAACTCTAGCTGTGGAAGCTCTTTAGATGGAGCAGCAAGCCCGGACAGCTTCACGGAAGAGCACGAAACACTAGATTCGAAGCACACGCGGAGCCTGCACCACGCCATTCTCCCTGTAGAAGGCAACGCGCAGCGGTGATGACGTTCCGTATCGCTCCCAAAGCACCAACAGGGAAGGCGAGACCTGAGCATGCGGGTGCTGGAATCAGTGCCTGTGGGATTTGTGACTCTGCCTTTCCCCATGGGCTCCCTGTCCTTCCCAGCCCGGGAGGGAGCAGCCGGCACGTTGGCTGAGGACAAGACCAAACTAGATGGACGTTCAGTATTCAGGTACGTGATCGTACAAAGAAGAAAAGCATTGAAGTCATCTTCATTGTACATACAGCTCATGATGTGACCCTGTGGAGGGGAAGGAGACACGGCCAGCACCTCTCCAGCATTTAGAGGGCTTTCAGACCATTGGACGACCGTTGCTTTTTGAACAGTCGCCTGGTTGAGACATGAAACTCCTCTTTCACTGCCGGCAGAGGCCACTGATGCTTTCCAGCTCCACGTGGCACTGGAGACTGATGAACCCTGCCACTGCTGCAGCGTTTCTCCTGTGGCTTATACAAATGGCCTGAGCAGGAGTTGGGCCCACGTGCTCCTGCTGTCCGAGAGCTTTTGACTGTATCTTTTTAAAGAGGTGAAAAAACATCCTCAGCAAAAGGACTATTAAAAGGATTAAGACTATTTCTTTTCCTCTCTTTTATTTTTCTATTTTCTTTCTTTTTTCCTTTTTTATTTCCTTTCTTCCTTCCCCTTCTACCTAACTTTTGATTGTTTGGGGTTGTTGTATTTATGACATGGGATTACTTCTGTTTAACGCTGTCATGCAGTATCCACTGAATGAAAAGGTACATAGGTGTTTTCTCCTGCTCTCCCAGTCCCTGATTCTTCTGCTGGTAATGCTCAGTGGATAAGCTTCAGGCCTGTTGTGATATCCTGGATTTTCCCCAGTGGTTTCTGTAGGGCCAGAGCTTCTCTCAAGGAAAATGAATTGATAAAGGAAAGAAAAATAAACATTTGGTAGTGAAGCATCCCCTTGGACCGGGGAATTTTTAAATCCAACAAGCAACAAAAAGGCAAAATGGGTTTATGATGCATCAACAGTGTGTGTGTACATAGGGTTATAAAGGGGTTTAATGGTATGCTTTGGATTTTTTGGTTTTATTGTATGAAAATGGTGGTGGTTCAGCTGTGTCAATGCCTGCAGGCTGGACTACAGTGCTGGATTTATTCTGGTGATAGGAAGGTCTTTGCTGCCCAAGGCTGGTAGGAGCCCACAGCCTCTCCGAATCCTGGGGGGAAGCACTAAGAGCAGAGGTGGGATTCGCCTCCATTCTCCAGTACTTGGTTTGATACAGAATTGATGCCTGTGATGGAGCTGATCCTCTGCTCCCCATTGCCCGCCCAGGAGGGCATTTGGGAAACAAAAGGACTGGGGAGCAGGAGGCTGCTGCTGGGAGCTGAGGACCACACCATGCCATCACCACTGCATAAGACCCGTCTCTCACATGATGCTTAGTGGAACAATTGCCCCAAGCCCATTCTCCCCCTCTGCAGATATGTCAAGGCACAGAATTCTCTACCATGCTACAGTAAAAAAACACCAAAACCCATAAACATCCTTTGGAAAGGAAAAAGTCCTTTAAGCAGGGACATCTTCCACCGCACTCATCCCTTTTAAAGGGTGCTGAGGTACAAAGGAAAACACAGAGGATTTGGGTGGGTGTCTGCAAGCCCATCCCAGGCTTAATTCAGAGCCCTGTTGTTTCTGTCCCTGGTTGGTTTTAATGCCTCTTTGTAAATAATATGTGGGAGGTTGGCACGTTAGGTGGAATTAATTGCCTGGGAAGTGGTCCTGGTCCAAGCAAGGGTTTCCAACATAGACCCCAAACCCTCCAAAACCATCAACCTCTTCCATCTTAAATTGAGGAAAAGGAGGAAAACTCCTTCCTGGGTCCAGAACACCCACGTATGGGGGTTTTCTTACTAAAGGTGGTCCACAGAGAGGTGCTTGCAGGGAATGGAGTGATGCTGAGGAACAGGTTTGGGCTTGTCCCAGCACCAGGGGTAGGGGAGACTGGAAGGAAGGAGCCCCTCTGATCACACAGGGAAGCTGTTCTTGGTTGTCAGCATTCAAAATAACCCTGGGCTGGGGTGGGTGGGGGTTTTACCCCCTTTTCATTAACCTATCGCAAGAAAAATCACGGACACTCAGAAATTCCTCATTCCCCACAAGTTTATACTTATTATTCTTTATCTTTTTGGTAGCTGAACAGTTGGGAAAATGGTACAACCTTGGTGGCACTCCCCATCACCCCCATGCACACACGTGCCTGCTCGTAGCCCTTAGCAGGCGCACCATAGGTCTCCCAGGGTATGTACAGTTGTACTTTAACCGTGATTTGAATGGTACATTTCCTCTGCCCACCTCTCCTCCTGCCTGCTTCATCTCTCGCTGTGTGGACCACCGCTCCCCCTGTTTCTGTTGGAAACGGTGCTCCGGGGCAATGCTGCACCGTGTGAGTGAATTCCCACCTTACAACTTTTGGTTGGTTGATTTCAGCCCCAACCCTTTCTCTGCCAACCTTCCCCTTGGGTTTCTGCATTTTTTCTGCAGAAACGAAGTAACCAGACCTGGTACCCTGAGTCTCAACCCACTGTGGATGTGCTATTTAGCAAAACACATTTGTTGTAATGTGTGTGTATATATAAATATATATATATAATGAATATATCAAGAATATTTCTAAATAAAGTTTTACAAAGCAGCCTCCACTCACTGTCTGCCTCTCTCCCACCTCACCGCTCAGATCTTTGCTATCTCATTCCTGGGCATTGTGGGGCGATGATGCCAGGGTGGCCCATCCCCAGCTATCAACAGCCATCAACAGGCAGCAAAAGCCTTGCAGAAGGATCTGGTGATGTTTTCCCTTGCTTGGCTCATGATGTCCAGCCTGGGCTGGGCTTTTGCAGAGAGAGTAGGAGGGAGGAAGAACGTGTGGGGCCAGCAGGAAGGAAGACGGGAGGCAAAGCAATCCCCCCACTGCAGGCCAGAGCTACCAGCCACCACTGCGTTACACCCAGAGCATCGTTTGCAGGTCCCCCAAAGGCTCTGGTGGCCTTTTCCCCTCTTTCATCAAGGGGGACGGTGTGAGGAGGGGCCTGCCAGGGACCATGCTGCTTCCCTTCTCACCATGGCAAGTACTTGGCCACGATTTTATGACTAATGGTGGTAATTCCTCTTTTTTTTAGAAGAGAAAAAAAGAAGTTGTTATCACAGCCATGTGCATAAATACATTAAAAACCAATTGAGCTGGTAACATCAGTTAGGGAGTGTTTACAGGATAAGCAGTTCATTGAATATGTGTGTGCATATATATTTTATATATATATATGCACATGACTATGGCACCATGTTGTTGATGATGGCCAACATCATATCCATAACATGAAGCACATGAACAGGAATGGTACCACAGGTTATTTTCTTGTCTTTAATTTCTGTGAGTTTCAGAGTCATTACCTACTTTAAACAAGGTCTTTTAGAGCATCCCTTGCTCTTTCAAAGCATCCCCCCAACAGCTTAGCTGCTAAACTCTCCTCATACCCATCAGCCCATCAGCCAATTCTTGCTTTTAAAGGGTCTGGGTGACATTTCCCCATGGGTGAAAGCAGGGGCCCCTCTCAGGCTCCAACCTGGGGTATGCAGGGAGCCCCGTTCAGGCACAGCCCCAAGCTAGGGACACAGGAGGCCCCCACAGCCTGACCAAGCAAAGCCCTGCAGTTGGGGCCAGGCTGGTTTCCACCTCAGACACTGGGACAAGGTGTTGGGTGGGCGTGGGGCAGTGTGGGGCTGTTGGGTGTTTATCTGGGGCTGGGTGATCACAGCTATGCAGCTGGTTTAACCCTCGTACACCATCCTGCTGATAGCTCACCTACCGTTTATCTCTGCTCTCCACCACCCAGCACTCTCCCTCCTTACATTGCCAGGATGATTCTCCTTCCACCTCCCCCTTCTGCTTTTTTTCCTTTATTCAGTTAAAAGGCCCCTCATTGCCATGTTCCCTTTGCCATCAGCAAAGATAGCAAAGAACATCCATGAGGTGAAGGTTTCAAAACACTCCCTGCAGATATACATATAATATAGGGCTCTAATACTTAATATATAGCTCTGTAGAGTGTAGTAAATTCCGGGAGGGTGCTCATGCCACCCACACCTCGATGGGATGGTCAACATACATCATTCCTTATGTATGCCAGTGGTGGGGAGACCCTGGGAGCTGCCACGCTGGGAAAGGCTGGTGGCCCTATGTTGGTTGTGCTAGAAGGAGCATCCTCCTTCCAGCTCCTTCCTCTCCAGAGCACCTGGACCTCCTTGCTGCTCAGCCACCAAGATGCAAATGTCACAGACATCATCTGCCTTTCTTTTTTCTCTTTTAAAGTAGTTTTTGAAAGCCCTTCTCACACTTGTCTTCCAGTGGAGTATCTCATTCATTTCCCATCAAATGGTGTTACTGTTTTACAGTTGTGTTGTATTGCGAGGTGATGAGCACTGCTCTGTGGATTCAAATATACAAGGAAAAAAAAACAGCCCAGCCTGGATTTTATGTTGTTTATGCAAAACAGAGAAGAAAGTTGGTAAAAACACTTTAGGTCCTAGTATCCACTAAAGAAGGGCAATAGCCTGGGTGTCGTAGTTGGCATTGCTCTAGGCCAGAACAGGCTGCGGTTCATCTCTCACTGGTGGTACCACAAGCCTTCTGCAGCAATTTGTCTGGTAAACAGCAGTTTCTTCACAAACCTGAAGCAGGTGCACTTAAGGCTATGTTGTTCATCCACATTTCTGATGTGTCCCAGGAACCTGGTGACATTCAGGTTCCCAGTGGCAGAAAATTCCCCTGAGCATTGCATGGATATCACTGGGGAGTGAGAACAGAGGGGAAGTGGCATTGGGATAAAACTGATTAAAATAAAAATGAACTAGAGAAGGTGGGAGGGACGCAAATGTATGAGAGACTGAAACGAGAAACACAAAACCCCCCAAATCACCCCAAATTTGGACAGCTTTTATTTTCAAGCCTCATTATCTGGGTTTAATTACAGCCTTTCTGGCAAAGCCATGGTGAGGGAAGCCTGCCTGGGAACACCGCTGAAGCCAAGAGCAAGGACCTGCATCATTAAAGGCATTCCCACATAACTGAATTAAATATGCTCACAGAAATGACAGGACCCAAACATTCCCACCCCTGCAGGCGATGAGAAAGCTTTGCCTCTTCACTATTACAGGCCAGTGACAACAGGAGGGAGTAATTTATGGCTCTCTGGGACTGCTCGATACGCTCCTCATCCCCAGTCTCATCCCTGACATTCCCACCACCGCACAAAGGCTGCAGCCAGGCAGCTGTGCCCAGGGGACACTGCGCTGTTGCACACAGTGAGGAGATGAGCAGCGAGCAGGATCCCTTTCTCCTCTCAGCCCTTTTCTTCCTCTCCTTTTGCCTTATTTCTTCCTCCCTGCTCCTTTATTTCAGTATCCATCCAAAAATTGGTGCTGGGGGAGCTGGGATTACTCAGTGGGGCTGGACGGCACAAGAGAAGGATGCTCCAACACCTTGGGGTCTAAGGAGAGGGGACCTGCACCACTAATGGGGATGCAGGAAACCTCCCATAGGGGGTCCAGCGGGCACTTTCAAACTCGTCCCCCAGGTAGATGTTCCTTTTCCCCTGCTCTCGGAGCTATTCTCGGCAGCCCCGGTGACCTTTCCGGGGAACAATTTACTATTGTGTGTTGGTGAAGCCCAGCCTCTATTTTTACACTCTGTTTTGCTGATGCGGGCACAGGGAGCGAGACGGGAATCCAGCAGGAAATGGGAGGGAGCGTCTGGATGACGGCTAAACCACTTTGATGTGCTGGGGCTGAGCCTGGTCAGCAGCACGTGGTGGGGCCAAGGGCTTCGCTCCTTGCCCATCCCTCCAGTAGATCCTGCATGGCACCAGCTTAACCCTGCTGTGCCAAAGCGGGGATGGGTCCTGCAGCAAAGGGCTTTTGGCAGAGGCCAGCGAAGTGTTGTGCTCCTTGGTGTGTGCAGTGTGCAAAGTGAAAGGCAGCTTGCTGCTGGCATTGTGTTGCTGAAGGGATGCTGGAAACAAGGGGAGGAGGTGACTTGCTGACTGAGCTGGGAGAGGTTTGGGGACTTGCCCAAGGGCGTCCGGGAAAGCCCTGGCAGAGCATCCTGGTTTGCATCATGTGAAGGGAGCAGATTGACAGCAGCCGGAGGGGGCAGGTCTTTGTGTGAGGTGCTGTCGGGTGGTTGTTCCTGATGTGGGACTCTGAGCTAGGCTTAAGGAGCCAAAAAAATGCCAAGCATCACAGGCTAGAGTGGCTGTGCACATGCCCTGTGCACGCTGTGTCTGTGGCAGGGAACACCAGTCCCTTTGACTGCAGAGGTATTGCTGGCCATGCCTCAGGAGAGGGACTGGGATTGTTTCCATCACCATCCGCAGCACAGCCCTTGGGGCATGAATAGCATCCTGCTGCCCCAAAGCTTGCCCACAGGCACCAAACGCAGAGGCAAGGTCCTCCTGCATACCATAAGGGTCTCAACCACTGAACAAGCAATGCTGCCTGGGAGGGCATGCGAGCAAGGAGCTGCCTTACAGCAGCTGTCCCATCTCCAAAGCACTTCACTTGCACTCCACCAGTGACACATCCCTTCACACGCTGCTGGAGCTGAAATAAAACACATCAACACCCATCCAGCTGTGTTTCTTGCAACCATCCAGAAATGAAGCATCACTCCTCCAAGCACCCAGCCTGCTCCATGCCTGGGAATGGTGTTGAAATGAGAGCTGGGGGTAGCCTGAGGGTGGCTGGAGCCAGTTAGCAACATGTCACTATGGGTGTTGTGACCGAGAAGCTTGTGTGCACAAACATTCTCCCACCCCACAAATACCTGTCCATGCCCATGACAGTCAAATGTTCACACTGACTTGCTCACAAATGCATGGTCCATGTGTTCTCACATGTGTGATGCTGCATGAAAACGTTCACAACTCATTTTTGTACGTCTCAGATCTGTGGGCACATCCACGGATGCACCTCTGAGGACATAGTCCTAAACACATGTGTTTGGATGGAAGTGAACACACAGTCCTGTGTGTGTCTTCAAGCCACCCAAGCCCATGATGTGCTGACACATATGTGTCCCCAGCACCTTGCATGCTGCCTGCAGGTGGTCCCCATCATAGAAGACACCAGGGAGGTCTTGCTTTTGGTTGCATCAGCAGGAATCACTCCCCAGCTGCTCCCTGTCTCGTCCTAGCAAACTGTTGAGCTGCCTTTTCCCTTCTTCTATGTCAGAGAACACCCGGATGCTTTTCCCAGGGTGTTTTCTAAGGTGACAGAAGCTTGCCCAGTGTGCCAGAGCCGACAGCCGTTGCTCCTATCTCGGCAGGCATCGGGCGGGAGGGCTGCCTGCCCTGTTCCATGGGGCCACCCTCCAGCTGCCCCACTCTATCTGTCTGGGTGCAGGTGCCCGGGATAACCACCCCCAGCAGCAGGCTGGCAGAAGGGTGCTGTGAGCAGAAGATGTTGTCCCCTCCAAAGGTGACACTGCCCCACCATCAACACTGCCCTGCACGCTTGGGTCTCCCTCCCGCAGGCCCCCACAACCGATGTGCTCACAGTGCCGCTGGCCGACGGGGCCCCCGGAGGGACGGTCCCATACACGGTGTCCTCCCCACCCCGAGCCTCACCATCGATCCCAGC